TCTGCTTCCGGCACTCAATGGGTATGTACTTGATAAATGATGATTTAGTGAATTCCACTAACTTCCAACATCCATCTAAGTTATTGGTTATACTTTGTCATAACCAGTGGTCGTACCCATGGTAATAATGATAATAGAGGATCACAGATACAGGCAGATGATTGCACTTACGTTATTTGGCACAATTCCGCCACTGGACTTATAATTTGCATGGATAGGTCGGTCACTCACATTCACGCCACAATGCCGTAAGTTATAAGGGGAGGATTTGTCAACCTGGTGAATTAATCGTTTAGATCTATTAAGGCCCGGCCTGGAATTGCTCTTGTAGCAAACAGGCCCTCACCGTGATCACTTCCTTTACAGGATGTGTTAACTTGTCGCTGGACTTAACAAAAAAAAAAATATCGAGGGATTTGCACACACAGACCGTAACTGACCAGGACTTAAGTCACGGGCAGGGAGTCTTCTCTAACCCAAGGTCTAAAAGCCCACTAGCTAGAATTGGTTTTTGAGGCGTAGTGATGAACAGTACACCACTGTCTCCACTGGCCTGCCCCCCCTACATGTCCCAGTCATGGCTGGCGGATACCTTATCTCTACCGTAAACAAACATTTGGGATGGGTTGTGCAGGGAGGCCCAACGCAACTTATGCAGGAATTTTGTTTTAAACAATTCTTTCATGTTTTCTGAGCTTTACTTAGTTTTATCCAGGCTAGAGAAGAGTTTCGAATTTATATATTTTTATGCCACTTTACTCATACAAATAAACTGTTATTTCTTCTTTTATTTTTGTTTTTTTGTCTTCCTCGAAATTTGTTTTCGTCTTTTATCCCATTGTTATTGCTTCCATTTTCACGTTACTTATACTTTGCCCTGTGAGCACTATTGACCTGCTAATAATTCAGCTCTTTTTATCCTGGTCTCCTTAAGTTATTGTACTCATGGGTAAGGTCATCGTACTCAAGGGGTTAAATTATCTTAATTAAGGGATTAAATCATCATAATCAAGGGGTTAAATCATTGTATTCAAGGGAGTAAATCATGGTAATCAAGGGGGTAAATTATTGTACTTAAAGGGTTAAGTCATCGTATTGAAGGGGGTTCAATTATCATAATCAAGGGGTAAGTCATCGGAATCAAGGGGTTAAATCATAGTACTCGAGGATTAAGTAATCGTAATTAAGGGGTAAAATCATCGCACTCAAGGGGTTAAACCATCGTATTGAAGGGGTTCAATCATCGTAATCAAGGGGATTAAATCATCGTAATCAAGGAGTAAAGTCACCGGACTAACGGGGTTTAATCATCGTAATCAAAGGATTAAGTCATCGTAATCAAGGTGTTAAATCATTGTACTCAAGGGGTTGTCATCGTACTTATGGGGTTAAATCACCGTAATTAAGGGGTTAAATCATTGTAATCAAAGGTTGAAGGCAGGTCGGTGGATTAGTACACCAACACACATGTAATCCCCAGCATCCTCATCTACACTGTTAAAACTTAAGAAGTAAGTAAGCAGGAACAAAAGTTCCGCTTGAGCAGCAAATGCACATTACGATTTGTTATGCATGAAGAGCTATGCAGCACAGTCTCCACTCATCATTTATGTCAATATTAGTTTCCCCTTAAAGCACCAAGCTACAACAGAACACAGTGCTTCGTCATCCACGTATGGTTGAACTTGGGACGACCAGAGCAAAACTTTCACCTCTACTACTGAGTGTGTTATTGTTCTATTTTAAGAACAAGGGCGTCGTGGGCTTGGAAGCTAGTATATAAGAGAAGTCAGGTCTGGGAGAGGCACAGTTGTTTCATCCCTCGCTGAAGTTACACCAACATGTCTCTCAGATTTGTGGTAAGCACCTAGCATGGCCTTTGTGAACTGCTTTATATATAAACCGTATAAACAGAGATAGGTCTAACCAGCAGACACATTGTAAAAAAAATTAATGTGAATGCACAATATCATTAACTAATAAGATTTCGTTATTACAGGTGTCGTTGGCGGTCGTGGCCATTGTGTTTGCTGACCAGAGCTCCCATGTCAGTATCAGCCACGGCGGCGGCACCCCGGCTGTGAGCCACAGCTCCTCTGTCCCACACAGGGCGGCTCCTAGTCCAGCTCCTCCTCATGGACACCGTCCTTCCTATACACCAAGACCTACCTATCCCCCAAGGCCTAGCTACACCCCACGACCTACCTATCCCACAAGGCCTACCTACACCCCAAGGCCTACATACGCCCCACGGCCTACCTACACCCCACGGCCTAGCTATCATCCCCAACCTTCCTATCACCCAACACCGGCCTACGGACAGCAACCTTCCTACGATGCTGAGCCCGCTTGTGCTGCTGCCAGTTCCAAGCCCTGGTGCCTCGAGGACAATGAATATCCCACCTATGAAATAGAGAAGGCTGCCGGCGACCATAGCGACAAACTTCTCACCCTGTACGCTGACGTGGCTGACCTGGACACCAAGCTTTCCCTCGAGCGTCCCAACAACCTTTATGAGGAGACTTACCTCTGTCCCTCAGAAACTGCCTACGTCAGGCCTCTCCGTGCCAAGAACACCGACGGCAAGTGGCGCATCATCGTCAACAACATTAAGGTGCACTACCAAACTCTCACCCAGACCACCCGTATCGAGGAGTGCCTGACCTCCGGCGACGCCTGCCCCCTGGTGCCTGTGTGTTATGAGTCCAAGTGCCTGCAGAAGTCCATCTACCACCGCTTCCTCGTCTACGACCCCTATGATCAGTACTTCCCCTTCGCCATCGAGACCTTCAAGCTGCCCGCCAGCTGTGCCTGTCTGCTCGGCGCCTACACCATCGACCACTAAGGCCAACACACCACAAATCTCTCGCTAGAAATAATGAATAATCGGACCTAGAACTATTAATGTCTTGTGAGTCTTAGTCTTCCATCTTGTGTAGTCTAGGAGCATGAGCGGGTGGTTCCCTGTGGCGGCAACACAGCTGCTGCAGGAGCCACCGTCCCTGGCATCATTCACTCAACTATATGAAGAAAGCAGTTCTCTAGTCATCTCGATGTGATATGATGTATGATAATTAATTAATATATAAATATTTATATTCATGAATTACTGAAACTTCAGCTTCTGACATGAAACAAATAAACTGTGCAGCAATATAGTCTTTTTCATTATAATTTTTTATCCAACAAGATAATCACTACAAAAACATCAAATATTCTTAGTTGTAGATCATTTACACAAACACGCGACGTAGTACATTATCAAACATGATCAACAAGAGATTGTTAAACCAAAATTTGAAACTGATGGCGACAACTATTAAAATGCTTATCTGAAATATGGACCACATAATGACATATACTAACAAATATGGTAATAATTGAAAATATAGTAATAATGATAAGAAAAAGAAATGTACCAATAAAAATAATAATAATAATAATAATAATAATAATAATAATAATAATAATAATAATAATAATAATAATAATAATAATAATAATAATAATAATAATAATAATAATAATAATAATAATAATAATGAAATATCAATAAAATACGAACAATAAAAAACAACAAAAACAGTGAAATAAATAATAACACTAATAAAAACAACTTTATCTAACGTTAATAATCATAATAACAATAATCATAGTAATAATTAGGATATCATTACAACTGACCCTCAACATTAACGCGAATATAACATTAAGGTCAAGAGTATGTAAGTCTCTACATCCTCAACAGTTACACAAGACAAGTAGAAGGATTATCAATATTACGAACCAATTCATCTAGTACAGTAAATTTACACATGTATATTATGTAGATTTGTAGTAACTCATTAATGCCCCGGTTTAACCAAAGGATCCTACTGGTGGCTTAGCATGGGGTATCCTTGGTCAAACTGACTTACTATTTACCATTGTTTGTATACCTGTCCTGTATTTGGGTATTATATACCTGCATTGTCTATATACAGTCCATGCTGATTTTTCTGTAAAGTGGTGTAGTGATTTTACTGGAATACCCATCCATCTATCCATTATCCATCCATCCACCCATGCATCCTCCAATCATCTATCTATCTATCTATCTATCTATCTAACCACGACCACTTGCTACCACTCTTCCAATCCTGCAGTGAACAACAGCCTCGACCATCAACATGTTGAAGTGAACACTAAACTCCCGTCCAAGAGTCAGTGATTTCCTGAGTCGTGAACAGTTTAATAGGGAACAGTATTATCACTCTCAGTAAAATAGGAGAAATAAGAGAGAAGATAGACTCACATTAAGGGATAGCTGCTGAAGAAGACGTCAACGATAAAACTTTAAATCGATAGTCTTGGTGGATTTACCTTTGAAGCGAGAAAAGGTTAATAGATGTAGATGACGTCATATAGGTAAGATACCGTAGGTGTCACTGGGATAAGAACTTGATGAATAAACTGTATGTAAAAAAAAAAGATAATTAAAAGAAAATTACTTTTTAAAGATTCAAGATCGTTTAATTAGCATAAAGATACGACAACATCACCTGTACTCATCATATTGTTCATTATATTACCTAATGAGACGGTGTAACAAGACTACCTGTAATAGACTGAAGACACGTATTTGCATGACATTAAAGGAAGGTAACTTATTTTTATATTATACCTTTATAGAAAATTCACGTTACAAGAGCAGAAGGAATATATTTGTGATATGCAAATTCTTACTCAATATTTGGCCTACGTCGAGTGTATGTCAATACGTCAGCCTATAAGTATGTCAGCAGCATAACGCAAGAGTAGAGAGTTACTGTTCATATTCTGCCCACGTGTTCACCAAGGCTAAAACATTCTGAGGGTTATGAGGCGAGAGGCTTAAGTCGCAGCTTTAAAAACAAAAAATATCACCAAGCATTATAGAAAAACTTCCCTCGTGTGAAAGCTTAGTACGAATATTGTTTATCGTTCAGTACAAACTATAGTCTTGGGTGAGTTGTGTTGGGTGTAGTGAACGGGTCTGAGGGATGGAGCCAAGCTGGGTGAATGTTGATTGGTGTCTTGTAGCTTAACAACTGGACTGTATTTTATGAACCTGTCTTCTGTTGCGTGTAGCTGAAGAACCTAGTTGTATGTATGTAATTATCACCAACTGCAAGCAGCTTAAAAATCCCAACCATTTGAAGGAAACTATAGCAGTTAGTGTTCAGTGAATCTAACTTATATTCATTAAACAAGTTATGAAACAGCTTTTGTAATTAATGATTTCGTTCTCTTCAAGGTTTATGGGAACAAAATAAAAGAAGACATCAATGCAAATCAGTCTTTCTCTCCATGACTCGTAAATAAAGACAGAGGCTGTAAGTGACTGCTGCCTAGTCGAGGAAACCTTTGAGAGTCACGGGAAAAATTTCAATCCTCCCGCCAGCTGGTACTGTTATTGGGAACGATAATGTACAGAGCACCTGCTGTATGGATGTCCTCCCCGGGTGCTATCAAGAACTTGTGGGTAACACCTCATCTCTCACTGTGTATCAGATAAAGGTTCCTGGTATTAAGGCTTTCTCGGTGTAAGATTTTGATTTTTTATATTTCTCTGATTATGAGTTATGAAAATCGCTGTATAATCATCCTGCCTGATTTCCTTTTGACAATGTTACCATGACGGGTTTTCCTTATTATCTGTACTAATACATATTACCCACATCTATGTTCTCAATTCTAGAAATAAATAGTGATTTAAATACTACCAGCTTGTTTGTTCAGCAGTAGGGTAAAACCTCTAACGTTTATACCTCTGTGATCATAGGGAAGTTACTGTATATTTACTAATTGCCTAAATCTGTGTTTGAACTGATAACTTTAATTATCTGTTTGTTCAATTATTATTTTTTTAATTATACTTCAAAGTATTTGATCAGTAATCCTAACAAGAATTTATCCCCTGTACCCCCAGAATAGAGGTGATGCTGTTATCTGGTAAAGTATTTGAAATGTAACAGAAAGTGAATCTCTGGTAGTCTGTCACGTCTGTGATGGTCCTGACATCACAGTTTTTCATAGTCTAGTTTACTCTAGTATTTGGTATTGTCGGTAGTAATTATTATCTGTGGTACCAGCAACGGAATGGACCAATTTATATTAAACCTTACTCAACAAGAATTGCAAGTTACGTGGTACGAATTATTTTCGTATGTTGTTTATCTTATGTTTTTAATTTTACCAGTTATTTATAGTTAGTCTAAAACTCGTAACAAACAAGAGTTGCGTCAACAGTCTGGTTTACACGTCACTTCTCACCACCTCACTAGGCTGATTGATGAACTACGGGTAAACATTGCTTAATACTTTATTGTTTTATTCCATGCCAGAAGCTGAAGTTTCATGAAATGCATAAATAGATAAAAAATAAAACATGGGAATATGTATCATATCACATCGAGATGACTAGAGAACTGCTTTCTTCATATTATTGAGTGAATGATGCCAGGGACGGTGGCTCCTGCAGCAGCTGTGTTGCCGCCACAGGGAACCACCCGCTCGTGCTCCTAGACTACACAAGATGGAAGACTAAGACTCACAAGACATTAATAGTTCTAGGTTCGATTATTCATTATTTCTAGCGAGAGATTTGTGGTGTGTTGGCCTTAGTGGTCGATGGTGTAGGCGCCGAGCAGACAGGCACAGCTGGCGGGCAGCTTGAAGGTCTCGATGGCGAAGGGGAAGTACTGATCATATGGGTCGTAGACGAGGAAGCGGTGGTAGATGGACTTCTGCAGGCACTTGGACTCATAACACACAGGCACCAGGGGGCAGGCGTCGCCGGAGGTCAGGCACTCCTCGATACGGGTGGTCTGGGTGAGAGTTTGGTAGTGCACCTTAATGTTGTTGACGATGATGCGCCACTTGCCGTCGGTGTTCTTGGCACGGAGAGGCCTGACGTAGGCAGTTTCTGAGGGACAGAGGTAAGTCTCCTCATAAAGGTTGTTGGGACGCTCGACGGAAAGCTTGGTGTCCAGGTCAGCCACGTCAGCGTACAGGGTGAGAAGTTTGTCGCTATGGTCGCCGGCAGCCTTCTCTATTTCATAGGTGGGATATTCATTGTCCTCGAGGCACCAGGGCTTGGAACTGGCAGCAGCACAAGCGGGCTCAGCATCGTAGGAAGGCTGCTGTCCGTAGGCCGGTGTTGGGTGATAGGAAGGTTGGGGATGATAGCTAGGCCGTGGGGCGTATGTAGGCCTTGGGGTGTAGGTAGGCCTTGTGGGATAGGTAGGTCGTGGGGTATAGCTAGGTCTTGGGGGATAGGTAGGTCTTGGTGTATAGGAAGGACGGTGTCCATGAGGAGGAGCTGGACTAGGAGCCGCCCTGTGTGGGACAGAGGAGCTGTGGCTCACAGCCGGGGTGCCGCCGCCGTGGCTGATACTGACATGGGAGCTCTGGTCAGCAAGCACAATGGCCACGACCGCCAACGACACCTGTAATAACGAAAAAACATTGAAAACAATACTACCGGACTGATTCAGTACATTGTTTACACTAATCTTATGTTTGGATCATCTGTCTCTATATTACTTAGATAAACTCATGAAGAACACGACCTATGTTCTTTACTCACCACAAATCTCAGAGCCATGATGGAAAAACTTGAGAGAGGAATGGATCGACTGTGCTTCTCCCAGACGTGACTGCTCTTATATACCGACTCCCATGTACACAGCGCCCTTGTTCTTAATATAGAACAATAACACGGAGCAGTAGAGGTGAAAGTTCCGGTCTAGTCATCCCAAACTCAACCATAAGGGGATGACTAAGCTCCGTGTCCTACTGCGGCCAAGTTATTATTCTAAGGAAGGTTGCTATTTGTGGAATCCTAATTTACCTGAATGACATTGAAGACGTCGTGTAAGTGTCTCCGTGTACCTCCGTGACAGGTGATATAAGTATTCCTACAATCAATATTTCTGTGGTGTTTTCCATTTTCTTCTCTATCTTTTCACTCTTGTTTTAATCTCACTTTTATAGGGTTAGGATAGATTAGGTTAGGTTAGGTTAGGTTAGGTTAGGTTAGGTAAGGTCAGGTTAGGTTAGGTTATCCCATTATGTTATGCCCTCAAGTGTGCAACAAGGAGTACCAATAACAAGTCATGATTTAATATTAAAAAAAAACCACTAATTATCTAAGAGTCAAAAACAAAACACTGTACATAAAATAATTGTTTAACGAACAAAAAAATAGTAATAAATTAAGTAAATAAACCCATAAAAAGACAATTGGGAATCAAAACAAAAACATAATAATCAATGGGAAAGAACAAGGTATAATAAGTGTATGAACAAGTGATTAAATGCATAGTTCAGTTTTTTTTTTCGCAAGGTAAACAACATTATCTCTTAACCTTGTGTTTGGGTTGAGAATTTATTGAAAGAATTTATACATCGCCTTTTGTGCCTTCATCCTGTTTACGTTGCTTAGTCAATGGATATGCTTACACTCTTATTTTCCCTCTTCCATTTTTTTTGCTTTTTCTTCATCTCTCTCTCTCTCTCTCTCTCTCTCTCTCTCTCTCTCTCTCTCTCTCTCTCTCTCTCTCTCTCTCTGTGCTTGAGCTTTTATTACTTTTGCTTCATCTTTTTTCTCTCTTTGTTTACCTTTCTCTTCCTCTCTCTTTTTTTTTTTTTCATCTTCATATCCCTTTCTGTAGCTTTCGCTTTCCATTTCCTTCTCTCCATCTTTTTCTTTCTTTCCATTTATTCCTCTCTCTCTCTCTCTCTTACCACCTTTCCTCTATTTATATAAAACATTTCAACTAACTCCAATCTTCAGTCATTATTTTGTTTTGAATTCCCTCTCACTCCTTTACGCTTTCTACAGCACATTCACTCCTTTACGCCTTCTACAGCACATTCACTCCTTCACGCCTTCTACAGTACATTCACTCCTTTACGCCTTCTACAGCACATTCACTCTGTCACGCTTTCTACAGCACATTCACTCCTTTACGCCTTCTACAGCACATTCACTCCTTCACGCCTTCTACAGCACATTCACTCCTTCACGCCTTCTTCAGCACATTCCTCCTTCATTCATTCCTCCTTCACGCCTTCTACAGCACATTCCTCCTTCACGCCTTCTACAGCACATTCACTCCTTCACGCCTTCACCACAGCACATTCACTCCTTTACGCCATCTACAGCACATTCACTCCTTCACGCCTTCACAGCACATTCCTCCTTCACGCCTTATACAGCACATTCACTCCTTCGCAGCTAGCTTCAGCACATTCACTCCTTCACGCCTTCTACAGCACATTCCTTCCTTCACGCCTTCACCACAGCACATTCACTCCTTCACGCCTTCTACAGCACATTCACTCCTTTACCTTCTACAGCACATTCCTCCTTTACGCCTTCTACAGCACATTCACACTCCTTCACGCCTTCTACAGCACATTCTCCTTCACGCCTTCTACAGCACATTCCTCCTTCACGCCTTCTACAGCACATTCACTCCTTCACGCCTTCTACAGCACATTCACTCCTTCACGCCTTCTACAGCACATTCCACTCCTTCACGCCTTCTACAGCACATTCACTTCTTCACGCCTTCTACAGCACATTCCTCCTTCGTCTTCCTACAGCACATTCACTCCTTTACGCCTTCTACAGCACATTCACTCCCTTCACGCCTTCTACAGCACATTCACTCCTTCCGTCTTCTACAGCACATTCACTCCTTCACGCCTTCACCACAGCACATTCACTCCTTCACGCCTTCTTCAGCACATTCCTCCTTCACGCCTTCTACAGCACATTCACTCCTTCATATTCTACAGCACATTCCTCCTTCACGCCTTCTACAGCACATTCACTCCTTCACGCCTTCTACAGTACATTCACTCCTTTACGCCTTCACAGCACATTCCTCCTTCGCCTTCTACAGCACATTCCTCTTCACGCCTTCTACAGCACATTCACTCCTTCCGCCTTCTGCACATTCACTCCTTCACGCCTTCTACAGCACATTCACTCCTTCACGCCTTCTACAGCACATTCACTCCTTCACGCCTTCTACAGCACATTCACTCCTTCACGCCTTCTACAGCACATTCACTTCTTCACGCCTTCTACAGCACATTCACTCCTTCACGTCTTCTACAGCACATTCACTCCTTTACGCCTTCTACAGCACATTCACTCCTTCACGCCTTCTACAGCACATTCACTCCTTCACGTCTTCTACAGCACATTCACTCCTTCACGCCTTCTACAGCACATTCACTAACATCTCCCCGCCCGTCTTTTCCTACTCTTACCTTTCCCTCCACCACACCTTCTCACCTACTCTCTCATTACGTCACCCTCTAATCCCCCCTCCTCCCTCCCTCACTACGTCACCATCTGATCACACGCTCAAGCAAGTGGATATCTCAATACTGTCAATACTCTCTGTTTATCATCTCTCTGTCCGTGAGTTAGAGATCGCCGTTCATTTGTTGTTTTTTTAATATTGTTTTAAGAATCTTTTTTTTTCATATTGACTCGAGTTAACAGCGATCATTACCGCAATCTTCTGCTCTTACTCTGACAATCATTTTAAAATACAGTTTTTGAAAGATTAAATGCATTCACGGTTCTCATATTTTTACTGAACGTTAGGTTGTTGTGTGAGGTCACAGTCGCCACATCGCCACAGCTTGCCCAGCAGGCATCACACCACACACACACACACACACACACTATGTATCGCAATATTACGTCACAATCTAAAAATTCTCGACCTATGTAATCCTACATCGAAGTGACAGGCTGGCTGGCAGCCTTCAGGCGCTCGTGTGTTATGTGTTACAAATATATCAGAGGTTGTTTTTGTTTTAATGTATTTACCAGCTGTAGTTGTTTACCGAATCTTAGTTTCTGTACTAATCACCACCTTTTAAAATTGTACAAGAGTTTAAAAGTAATGATAAGTGATATTATCTACCCCACTTCTTGATTATAAGTTACATGAGGTCAGGTTATGCTGAGGCCAAAACATCGAAAACAAAATATCCATCCCAAAGTATCCATGGAATATCTACACTACTGTACTGTATATGTCCAAGCCAATACTTCCACACTAAAAATGTCAGCGAACTTAAAGAAATAAAAAAATAAATAAATAAAATAAATAAATCCCTGAATAACCAGACCTAAACACCCAGACCATAGCATCCAGACCAAAACACCCACACCTGAGCTTTCAGACAAAAACATTCTGACCAAAATATAGACCTAAATATCTAGATCAAAGCACAGAGACCTAAAACATCCAGACCTATAGCATTATGACCAAAACATCCAGACTAAAAATCCCACACCAAAACATCTAGACCAAAATACCCAGAGCTAATCATCCAAAGGAGAATCGACCGGAGCATCCTGTAGTTATGGTCAGCTGGCTGGCGGGGGCGGGATGGGTGGTGAATGGTTACGTAATGACCAGATTGAGGGAGGAAGTGTCGTCTGTTGAGTCGCTTGAGCTGGTTGGTGCCTGAACCTCGCCTGAAGGAGGGAAACACAGATGACGTAAGGTAAAAATCCAAGTCTCTGGTTGACTGCCAAGATACATGACCCATTTTTACCAGGAGCTTTCAAAGATGTAAATACGAGTACGTCTGTTTACTATATTTATTTATGTACAATTATCTACGCGTTCTATTCTTCGTTTGTATACAGTATTCATTTACTTGCATTTTGGGGTTCAATTGGACACACACACACACACAAACACACACAGAGACAACCAGACATACATAGACACACACACACAGACAATCAGGCACACACACACACACACACACACACACACACAATGGAGATGTAACGTTCAGTGTATAAATAACTTTCACAAACCTGCCTTTTCGTAAACGTGAGTACTACAAGAACCTGTTCAGTGGCAAATGAGGCGCTTCACAGTGTTAGGGAAAATCAAGCTTAAGTGATTATTATTGACTAAGACACAGAGAAAAGACATATGGCTCACTTCTATTCACACACGCACATACAATTTCTCTTTTCCGTTTTACCCTCCAGCTCTCACTCCTTTTTCCCCCTCTCTCTTTTTTCTATTTCTCTCCTTCTCTCTGTGCCATCATCATCTCCTTCCTTTTCTCTGACTCAGACACCGAGCTGTTAGAGAAAACTCTCAAAATTTTCACAAGATATTATGAAGCTAACATTTAAAACTCTCTCTCTCTCTCTCTCTCTCTCTCTCTCTCTCTCTCTCTCTCTCTCTCTCTCTCTCCCTCAACTTATCCTCTTTTTCCTTTCGTTTCCCTTCTCTTCCCACCCCCCTTTCGTCCCACACGTGGTATTTGTTCACACACACACACACAGACAGCTGCTCTACTCGCTGCTGTTATGTCATCACCGACTTCTGTTGCAGTCTGTTGACATTTTAAGGATGATGTAAATGTATGATGACTTGTCTCGAATTATTCTTAACATTTAATTGTTTATTTTGAAAGTCTGTCTCCCGTGTAACTGATGCAGGCAACTATGTTGGTCGTCTGGAGGACATGTTAATACTTAATAATGGTTTGTTCTCATATACTTATGCTTGTCGTAATTAGGTTTTATTCTATTCTTATAATACTTTGGTTCATTACACTTATCTTTACATTATCAACATTACTTATATATATATATATATATATATATATATATATATATATATATATATATATATATATATATATATATATATATATATATATATATATATATATATATATATATATATATATATATATACTGTATATATATATATATATATATATATATATATATATATATATATATATATATATATATATATATATATATATATATATATATATGCAAGTAAATCACTGTGGGTGCACGTGATCCAGGTATATGCTGATAACCACAAGGAAAGAAGGAAACACGAAGTTCCCAAGCACTTTCGTGTAATTCACATCTCCAGGGGTGAGTACAGACTGTACTCACCCCTGAAGATGTGAATTACACGAAAGCGCTTGGGAACTTCGTGTTTTCTTCTTTCCTTGTGGTTATCAGCATATACCTGGATCACGTGCACCCACAGTGATTTACTTGCATATATATATATATATATATATATATATATATATATATATATATATATATATATATATATATATATATATATATATATATATATATATATATATATATATATATATATATATATATATATATATATATATATAAGTAATGTTGATAATGTAAAGATAAGTGTAATGAACCAAAGTATTATAAGAATAGAATAAAACCTAATTACGACAAGCATAAGTATATGAGAACAAACCATTATTAAGTATTAACATGTCCTCCAGACGACCAACATAGTTGCCTGCATCTAGTTAAACATAGGTGTAACTAGAGAATGGTAAAAGTGATGTAAGAGGAAAAAACTTTGCGTCACCAAGCGGGAACTGATGATCGTCATACTGTGACTACATGATGAGACATCTTGTGCATGTCTGAAGCCATAGATACATATAAACCTTCTAAAGTTAAATAGGACTAAGTATGAATGTTTTGATGAGTTGGTAGATCGGTTTGCCTGTCTTTAGTTACTGGAACAATTTCGCTAAGGACTGATGGCCACGTTGAAAGAAAAATCAATATATTTTAGTTTTGTTTATCATACAGAACAACAAGTTATTTTCGTTATTTCTATCAACATTATACTTGTTATGTAAACAGAGGTCTCAGAGGAGTTTACAGCGAAGGATGATAAAAGACCAAGAACAAAGGATTATATGGTAATTTAATGTTTATGCAGCAGAGTCATCGGTATTAAGAAACGTATATTTTTAAAATGTGTCTCTAAAAAAATCGTTGGATAAAAAGAAAACAGGATATTCACAATAATAAGTCAAAATAGCATCGTTTATTTGTTTATTATTTCCACGAGCGTGCGGGAAAAGAAGTTGCTGTACGATATAAATATACATAAAATAAAGGTAATATTTTTCCAGGCAACATCACATTGAGATGACTAGAGAACTGCTTTCTTCACGTATTATAACACTGAGTACGGTCACGAACAAGTCCTTTCACCTCTTCTGCTGTTCCACGAACCCCGAGATTCAAAATCTTGATTCCGAAGCATCCGTAGACAGAATAATGCATCAATATCTACTCCTTCTGAATCTCGGGATTCGAGGAGCAGCGAAAGAGGTGAGAGGACTTTTGTTCGTGACACTGTACATCATGCCAGGGACGGTGGCTCCTGCAGCAGCAGTGTTGCTCTCACAGGAAACCACCCGCTCGTGCCCCTAGACTACACATGGTAGAAAAATAGGATTCACAAAAGTTTTGGTTACGATCTAATTATCTAATACTTTATTGTTATCAAATATCTGTGGTGTGTTGGCCTTAGTGGTCGATGGTGTAGGCACCCAGTAGACAGGCACAGCTGGCGGGCAGCTTGAAGGTCTCGATGGCGAAGGGGAAGTACTGATCATAGGGGTCGTAGACGAGGAAGCGGTGGTAGATGGACTTCTGCAGGCACTTGGACTCGTAACACTCAGGAAGCAGAGGACAGGCATAGTCAGCATTCAGGCATTCTTCGATACGTGTTGTCTGAGTAAGGGTTTGGTAGTGGACTTCTATGTTGTTGACGATGACGCGCCACATACCGTCGGTGTTCTGGGCACGGAGAGGCATAACGTAAGCGGTTTCTGATGGACACAGGTAAGTCTCCTCCTCTAGGGTCTTGGGACGGTAGACAGAATTTTCTGTGCTGAGGTCAGCCACGTCAGCGTAGAGAGTGAGGAGTTTGTCAAAGTGTTGTTCAGCGGCATGCTTGATCTCGTAGGTGGGATATTCGTTGTCCTCGAGGCACCAGGGCTTGGAGGTGTCAGAGGCACAGGCGGGGACGGCGGGCTCGTGTGTGGGGGCAGGCTGAGGGTGGTAGGTTGGCTTAGGAGAATACCGAGGTACAGGACGGTACGCAGGCTCAGGACGGTAGGCAGGTTCAGGACGGTAGGCTGGTTCAGGACGGTAGGCTGGTTCAGGACGGTAGGTAGGTTTAGGACGGTAGGTAGGTTCTGGACGGTAAGCGGGTTCTGGGCGATAAGTGGGTTTTGGACGGTAGGCAGGTTTAGGACGATAGGAAGGCTCCGGGTGGTACATGGGCTCTGGGTGGTACGAGGGCTCTGGTTTGTATGGTGGCTGTGGACGGTAGGAGTGGCGAGGGGGGTAGGAAGGTGACAGTGGGCGGTAAGGGGTCACAGGTGGAGAGGGGGACCCGTGACTCACAGACGGGGCGCCGCCGAGACTAAAGCTCATGTGGGAACTCTGGTCGGCCAGAACCACAGCCATCACGGCCGCACACACCTTGAGGGGAGGGATACATGAGTAAGAATGGCACTAGTGACTATCAGAGAGCTTTCAGTTCATGGACACCCATATAACGAGAAACAATAAGCTGAACGTTTGCTGTAAAACACACACCACACACACACCGCTATATAAAAATACATAAGCTAAGTTTTTCATTGGTACATCAGGGAAAAAATCAAAAGTATTATATCACAACTGAAATATAAACTAAAGACATCAAGTAAAGAAAAACTCCTTCTCACCACAAATTTCAGAGCCATCGTTCGTGTAGGTCGAACACTGGTGTAGGTGGGAGACTGTACCCAGGTGGCACTCCTGCTGTCTTATATACCAAGATCAGAGCGGCACCCGACCCACTCTTGTCTGGGTGTGAGGAGTGACAATGCAACCCGGTCTTTAAGATTGAAAGTCGCTGGTTACAGGGTTGTCTTTTTGGACCTTATTTACAGAGGATCGTTGTGCCCATTTGTTCGCTAATCTGTCATTACTCAGTGAATATATACCCAGAACAAGAGTTACTCGGTTTTGCAATGGTTGTGACGTGACGGAGTGTATGACGGACGAGTTTGGCAGACTGATAGCCAGGTGGTTTTGTGATTATGAACAAAACGTAAACAAAGAAAGGGAGAATAGAATATAAATGTCAAAAGTGAAAGAAACCGTAAAGAGAGAAGAGAAAATAAAATAAAGAGAAAGAAGAATGAACTGGGAAAACAAATCACCTATTTTAGCTCAATGAGGAGCATAGTGGCCTCCGAACTACTATTTATAATCATTCAAAACAACAATTGTGTGAATGTTAGGTTTATACGTCATATAACATCAACAACGTTGAAAATGTAGGTTGAAGGAATCTGTCAATTACTCCATCTACTTAACAAACACGATACAACATTATCACCCTCACCTGTCAAGACTCAGGTGGTACTGCCATTGAATACAGAGGTTAGAAATTATTCCTTCACTTGAATTTACATGATTTAGATTCACCATAGAGAGACAGGTGAACACAAGCCAACCCAACATTTCCTCTACCTGGATACACAGACATGACACTTCTCACTAGTATACTCACTTCAATAAAAGGTTTTATTTATTAAACTTAACGATAAAAGATCTCTATAAATATGACATAATCTCTCTTAATTTATTTCCTCTTATATCAGTTTAGTCATTATTTATTTGCTCATTGTAAGAAAAAAATAATGTCAAGTAGTGTAATTTAGTTTACTGAAGAAAGAGGAATATTATTAAGTTGATTTTTGTTTTTTACATGATACGATATAATATTATTCACGGCATTAATTATTTATAATCTTACACTTACTTTCACGAGGAGGAGGAGGAGGAGGAGAAGAAGACGAAGAAAAATAAGAAGAAAGAAGAAGAAGAGATCATAACAGATCAATTGAAAAAATGAATACCAAAGAGAAAAGGTGAAAGAAAAGGGAATGAATAAGTAAAAAAAAAAAAAAATAATAATACCCAGTGGCATTTGCCAGTTTTTTGTTGTTCCGGAAGTCACGTGTACTACCAATTTCCTCACCAGCCAATCAGCTGATCATGATGATGGCGACGTGATCAGCTGGCCACGCCTCACTAAATACACTGCCACTCGGGTCTCCACTTTTGCTCCAGGCACTACAGCTAAACTGGGTGTGTGTGCATAGACCTTGTTGTGACAGACAGACACACAGACACCCACAGAAAGAGAGAGAGAGAGAGAGAGAGAGAGAGAGAGAGAGAGAGAGAGAGAGAGAGCACAACTACTATGCACAAATATCAACACCACCAACCCCCATCGTTTCATTTCTCCAACCGACCGAGTGGGTGTGTCAAGTTGTGCCAGAGTAATTATGTGACTATTATACGTAACCTTTGACCTGAGGTGTAGAGTAAGTCACAAGGTCACAGCAATAACCCGAGCCACTCTCTCGGGTCGTGTGTGTGTGTGTGTGTGTAATTATTCTTTATTCTCCCCAAATTTTATTAATAACTTGGTTGGCTAATCTTATATTCCTGTCGTCATTATTATTATTGTTATTATTATTATTATTATTGTTATTATTATTATTATTATTATTATTATTATTATTATTATTATTATTATTATTATTATTATTATTATTATTATTATTATTAGCTATTGGGGGAGGCTGGGGGCCATTTAAAAAATAGTAGTAGTAATAGTAGTAGTATATAATAATAATAATAATAATAATAATAATAATAATAATAATAATAATAATAATAATAATAATAATAATAATAATAATAATAATAATAATAATAATAATAATAATAATAATAATAATAATAATAATAATAATAATAATAATAATAATAATAATAATAATAATAATAAATTTTATTAGATTTTCTATTTATAATTTTTCTTCATAATACAATCAAGACAATTAATTTCGCCCTGATTACTAGTACAATCGTGCTTAGGATAATTGTTATCATTAATGGTGTTACAAAGAAATTAAAACAATTCCATGTTGCTTCACCATCTTAAATTATAATATTTTAATTTACGCGTCTAACTGTTGAAATCTGCTTAACGTATGCTATTGTATGTTATATGTTGTGTGAAGCTACGGGGAGTGGGGGGATAAGTGGTGGTGGTGGTGAACAGTGTTGTTTAGGCAGTACATTATATAAGTTTCGGGGTGAGCGTTATCAGAGACGAGGATTGTAGCGCCTGTGTTTGTCAATTGAATGGCGTTGGGTTGGATTGAGAGGGTAGTTTTTTGGGGGGAGGGGGGGGGGGTGTATATTTCATTCACGTTATTCTGTGGATTTTCTTTGTGACACGTGAGGATAGTAGTCTCATTTTTCTCCCTACTCCTCCGCTTCTTTCATCTTTTTCTACGTCTTATTCCTCCTCTTTCCTCCCCTCCTATATTATCTTTCCCTACCTCCCCTTCCTCCTCCTCCTCCTCCTCATCATCATCATCTTTTTCCCTTACCGCACTTCCTCCTCCTATTATTTCTCTTCTTTCTTCTCCTCCTCCTCCTCCTTCTGAACACACTCATTGTTCAAGAAATTTTATAATTCCTAGCATACTTTGGATATGCTCTGTACACTCGCGACACAGTTAATTGCTTGTAACCGGAAGCAGGAGGAATTTATAAGCTGCAACATTCAAGGTTATAATCACAGCTGTTATTCGTCTGTAGTTCGGAGAGGATAGATCATCGCTGCCAAGGATGTCACGTAGTGGAGGTAAGAATGAAAATCGCTCGTATCCACACTCCGTGATATTTTACCTCTGGAGATACGATAGTAGAATCTCCTCCTTTTTAGGATGAATCACATTTAGGATCGTTTGGATCCCTTTATATGAATCAATATTTTTAGGTGTCGAGGTCGGTGTAAAAGGCCTCCTTGATGTCATCCACTGCATCTAGTGTTGGGGCGTATGCACTGATGAAAAAAGCATGACGTGAGTGATTCAGTGGGACTCGGAGCGTCGAGAAGGTGTAGCCAGACCCCCATTCTGTGAGTCAACCCTCGTCTGGGAGCTGGGACTCATAATGGCTGCTAGGTCGATGTTATACCTAGCCAGCTCTTTTACCACACGGGCGGTTCTTCCTTAAGAACGCTCATTTGTGCCAGTATCCAGAAGGATCCTGACATTCTATGCAGCGACCATAAGAGGTTGCATAGTTTGTTTTTGTTTTGATCTGGGATTATGATTGCGTTTTCGACCGCATAAGGATGACCTTACTGGGTGCGGTTGTCCAATCAAGTTGGTTCTTTAGCCAGGCTATGTTAAGGGCACCTTTTCTAGCTCCCTCCCTATGTGGGGTGAGCCGAATGGCTTCTCGAAAGGGTTGCTCAGTCAAACAGAAAGGACTGCTTTACACTGCTACCTAGTTCCCAGTGCATTAACGACCATCTTATCTGTGCCGCCCATGTGCAGAATTGTGACTAGAGACTCCCGGCAGTCATCTCTGTATGCCTCCCCTCGCCATAGGGCTTTTTGGGGTATAGGGGTTTTGTTGATGATGAGGAGTATGATGAGCTGGATGATGGCTGTGCGTGAGTTGATTATTGTGGTGAGGCAGGAGCGCAGGCTGCAACCACACATCTTGGCTCTCCATTTTCCTGGTTCAGTGGTCAAATGTTGCTACGACTGGGAAGAGGGAGAGTTGCAATGGACTAATGATAGCCCAATTTGTTGGGTTTCGCCTTAGTAGGCTGTCCATCATGCATTCCCTTCATCCGCCGGTGTAGTCGTTAGGTTCCCATGGTGGTCATCTATTCCGCCTTTACCGCCGTTGGTGCTCTGTAAGCATTTTTTTCCCGGACTGTAACAATACTTCTCCCAGGTCACCAAACTATAAGGTGGACTGTTTATTTTCTGCACAAAGAATCACTGAGTGTCGTTCACGTATATGGCGACTATTCACTGATATTTTTTGCTATATAATAAATGAAACTCCTCGTTGATGTATTTATTTTTTATTTATTTTATTTGTTTGCAGATTGATAAAGCATATTAGAAGATAAATATTAAGATTGGCTTGTAAATATTTAACATTACACAATACTTATCACAGTAAGATGACTAGAGAACTGCTTTCTTTACGTACCATAATACTGAGTAATGTTAGAATGACAGTAGTGTATCCTGCACCAGCCAGTTGTTGTTACAGGGAGCCACACACTCGTTCGTGCTATTGGGCTTCACAGGTAGACATTTCTCAAGTCAAATTCACAAAACATTCTTAATTTTAAGCCAGATTCTACATTTTTTTGGTTTGGTATGGGTCGTGAGATGGTCTTAGTGGTCGATGGTGTAGGCGCCCAGCAGACAGGCACAGCTGGCGGGCAGCTTGAAGGTCTCGATAGCGAAGGGGAAGTACTGATCATAAGAGTCGTAGACGAGGAAGCGGTGGTAGATGGACTTCTGCAGGCACTTGGACTCATAACACTCAGGCACTTTGGGACAAACACTGCCAGATGTCAGGCACTCTTCGATGCGGGTGGTCTGAGTGAATGTTTCGTAATGAACTTCGATGTTGTTGACGATGACGCGCCACTTACCGTCGGTGTTCTGGGCACGAAGAGGCTTGACGTAGGAGGTCTTTGAGGGACAGAGGTAAGTCTCCTCCGGCAAGGTGTTGGGACGCTCGACGGAGACTTCGGTGTTGAGATCGACGAGGTCAGCGTAGACGGTGAGGAGATAGTGATAGTGGTGCTCAGCGGCGTGTTGGATGTCCTTTATGGGGTACTCGGAGTCCTCCAGGCACCAAGGCTTTGTGGTGTTGGCGGCGCAAGCGGGGACGGCGGGCTCGTGGTGACCGGAGGTTGTGTGAGCGTGGGTACTATGGTGAGCTTGGTGGCCATGATGAGCTTGGTGACCACGGTGAGCTTGGTGGCCATGATGAGCTTGGTAGCCATGATGAGCTTGGTGGCCATGATGAACTTGGTGGCCACGATGAGCTTGGTGGCCATGATGAGTTTGGTGGCCATGATGGCCTGGGGCAGGATGGGCACCATAAAGGGTGGTTCCAGTAACGTGAGCACTTTCACCAACCACGATAGTCACCACCGTTAGTAGTACCTGATGGTGCAGAAAGAACATGATGCTACACATATTATTATTATATACAATATACTTTTGTTCCTGGAAAGGTACAAGTGCATCACAGAGAAAATTTGCCTATCATTGACCAGAGTCATGAAGACAAAATATTGCAATGTATTTTTTATTGAGCCTGCAGGCCGTACACAACTCAGGTCGAGGTGTGGGAAGTTAGAAACGCACTAAAGTTCCACTACGTGAAGCTCTTAATGCATTGCAAATAACAACAATTCGCATCATAGGCACATTAGAATTAAAGTTATCGTAACGTAATTGTAAGTGTTTCATAAGGCAATTTACATATACAAAAGCTATAAAATGGAGGACTCGGGTCAAATATCTATCTTTCTTGAGCTATAGTTACTCGCTTCACCCTGATACTTACCACAAGCCTGAGAGTCATGGTTGATGTGTGCTGGTCGTCCGCTAGAGGGAACTGTACTGTCATTCTCTGCCTGACAGCCTTATATACCGCAAGCTGGACCTAATAATCTCCTAAGTGGAAAGCAATCACCATCACGAGGGATAGCGCGTTGCAATGCGTTCCTGGACTGACTTGCAGTTAAATTTTCAATCAATAAGTAATTTTGAAGGTATCTTATAGAGTAAATTCCTAAGTGATCACTAATACAATAACAATTTAGGTGAAAAAAAACCTCACAATCAAGTGAATAAATAAAAAAAAATGAAAAATCACTGTAACTGTGATGCGAGGGAAGTATTAGGGGCGAGTCTCCACAACAATGACGGACCAGAGGCAGGTATTACGTGTTTCCTGTCCTCGATACACCATGACGGAAGATCTCCTTATGATAACATATCGTCGGTGTACTAATATTCAGTTACTATTTTATTGAAGAAAAAAAATCATGACTTCTCATTTCTTACACTACAAGGAGTATTTATAGTCAGTCATCAGTAATGGTATATTGATGCTGTTATATAACGTTTTAAACTCACAGACATGTAAGGTGGACACAACACGTGGAACTATTGGATGAAGCCTTTAACCAAAGTATGAGGTGTTATGATAAAGTTTAAGATACAGGAGGCTAGATCATGCTGCTGCAGGAAGATCCCATCACCTGTTGCTACGTAAATTCCCGCCTGAATCCTATGAGATAAGAAAAGTTCATATAAAATACTCACTACATGATTAATAAGTGAAATCAGGATTCGTGAAGATTGTCTGTCTGTCTGTCTGTCTCTCTCGTCGTGCTACACTATACAGTAATCGTGGTCAAGATTATCCCATTAACAATATCTAACATCAATATATAGCAAATGACAAAAAGTTAATTACATCAAATGTTTTTCACATCAACAAACTCTCATTTGTATACTATGGAATATATATATTTTTTTAATACTCAAATTTGTTTTATGGATTTGCAGATATTTCACCCATAATATATAACTTGTCTTCATAACTTATAAACTCTGCTACAGTTAATATAAGTACCACACCTCTCTATATAATTTTTATTAAATGGAATGGATGAAATGAGGGTTTTTATTTGTTGAGTTCATTGTTATTTATAAATTCTCTTTACTCAGGCAAATATCTGGTTACATAAGAACATAAGAGAATAAGGAGTCTGCAATAGGCCGGTTGGCCTGTGCATGGCAGCTCATGTCGAGAGTTACTACCACTCTCTATCGTCCATGAATCTATCTAGCCTCCTTTTAAAACTTTCCAGTGTTCCAGCACTTACTACATAGTTGCTAAGCTTGTTCCACTCGTCTACCACCCTATTAGTGAACCAGTTCCTTCCTATCTCCCTCCTAAACCTAAACTTATTCAACTTAAATCTGTTGCTACGAGTCCTATCCTGCTCGGATATTATAAGAACTTTATCTATATCTCCTTTATTGATTCCTTTCACCCACTTAAATACTTCTATCATATCTCCCCGCACCCTTCGTCTTTCTAGGGAATGCAAGTTTAGTTTATTTAATCTATCTTAATATGGAAGGTTTCTAAGTCCCGGAATCATTTACGTCATTCTTCGCTGCACCGACTCCAGTGAATTGATATCCATTCTATAATAAGGGCACCAGAACTGAACCGCATAATCGAGGTGCGGCCTGACTAGCGCAAGATATAGTTGCAATAAGACCTCTGCACTTTATTACTTACATTTCTAAATATAAAACCTGACACACTGTTTGCCTTATTTCGAACATTAACGCACTGTTTTCTCAGCCGTAGGTCAGAGCTTACAAGTACCCTTAAGTCTCTTTCACAAGTCGACTTTTCAAGGTTGATGTTGTTAAGGCTGTATACATTGACAGTATTTGTTCTTCCAATATTAAGTACGCTGCACTTGCTGGTGTTGAATTTCATTTGCCATTTCTTGACCACTCCTATAGTTTATTTAAATCCTCCTGTAGTGCATTTGCATCCTGCCTTGAATTAATCTGCCGCCCTATTTTGGTGTCAACCGCAAACTTGCTTAGTATCTAGATCGCATATGTAGATTATGAACAAGAGTGGGCCCAGCACTGACCCCTGGGGAACCCTACTGGTTACACAGCCCCATTCAGATTTAACACCATCTACGCTGACCCTCTGTGTTCTATCGGTGAGCCATGGTTTTATTCAATTTAAAACTATCCCCTCGATACCATGAGCCTTAACTTTTCTCAGAAGCCTCTGATGCGGTATTCTGTCAAACGCTTTGCTAAAGTCTAAGTAAATAACATCGTACTTTTCGTCATTATCTACTAACCTCGAAGACTTTCCTAAAAAAACGTCAGCAGATTTGTTAGAGAAGATTTTACCTTTGTAAATCCATGTTGAGAGTTGTAGATTATTTATTTTCTCTAAATGCGATCGGATGCTATTTGCTATAATTCATTCAAGAAATTTCCCCACTACTGACGTCAAACTAATCGGCCGGTAATTTGACGTTGATGCTCTGTCTCCCTTTTTGAATATGGGTACTACATTTGCCTGTCTCCACAAGTCTGGCACAACTCCCGTGCCATTACTCTGGGTGATAGAATGTATATAATGAATGTTATTAGCTCATATTTATATAATACTGCTGTCTCTATATGTAACAGTGGATAATATACCCATCCAAAGGCTGTGGCGCCCCCGGAGCCCTCCCAAGAGCGGCGGTGCCCCCATGGGCCCTCCCAGGGGCGGCAGCGCACCCAGAAACCTCCTAAGTGGTGGCACGGCCCCTAGGGGACTTCCCGGGAGCCGCGATGCCCCTAGGGGGGCCCTCCGAGGGGGTCTGCCAGGAGCTGTGGTGCCCACAGGGGCCCTTCTAGGCACTACGGAGAGAGACATACATTCAGCATTATAAGAGCTGTCACAAACTGTTATTAAAAATGTAAGTAAAAATATCAGATATGGAAAGGAAAGAAAAGGAAAGGAAAGGAAAGGAAAGGAAAGGAAAAAAGCAATTAAGAGGCGAAGTTAATATTTTTTCCTATAATTTCTCGTGTTTTCCTCTATTCACTGATTTACAACTGAACAATGGTAAGCCCGCAGTGTTGACATGTGTAAGCACAGAACGCTTAGTGGACAAATTACCTACAGCCATCCCCTCCCTCTATCTCTGTTTACATCACTCTCATATGATTACCTCCGTCCGATGATATGTGACGTGGACTATATAATTTACCTTCTGTTTACTCCTCATCTGCATTTTTTTTTGTATTTATGTTAGTTTATTAAGTCGCTGTTGATGTATTTTTTTATAATTTGTCATTATCTATATTCAACAGTGTTCTCATGTTTGTATTAACTTAGCATTGATGGAAAATATATAATTTTGTTCAGAATGATTAAGAGGAAAAATTTATACCTGGAGTCTTCAATGCCTTTCAGTATTAAGTTGCTATAAATATTTCGTCTGTGTTTTTCCTCACGTACAGGTGATATAGTAAGCGTTATACAGTCATAACATGTAGATTCATAGATGCTCTTTTATTTAATGAACTCTAACTCTGTACTGAATCTAAAAACAAAATATTAATCATTTGGTTCATGAGGTCGCTTCTTACACAAAACAACTGATAAGACTCCATGAATTACAACAAATCTGTGTAAAATCAGGATAGGAAATCACCTGATGGAGAGAAAGCGCGTAACAGACAACGCTGGGGAAATTCTGGTATTTATAACACTGGTCTACAAAAAAAAAAAAAAAATTTCTGGCATGAAACCTTTTAACTGTTTTTTACTAAATTTAAGGTGCTGAATCCAAATCTGATCTCAGATTTGCTCCATCACGTAACGTGCCAGAATTTACTGAGCTACCAGAGATTGTGGATATAGACCGGAATTCACCTGTTTCTACTGATGAAGATGAAGAGACTGATCTTTTCAAGCCATTTAGTGAAGATTGTGAAAAGCCAACGTTGTTTACTCAGTCAGAATTGAATGATCTGGTCAGAGATCTAAATTTGCCAAAACAGTCTGCTGAATTGTTAGCTTCCAGGCTTCAAGAGAAACGACTCTTAAAACCTGGCACGAGTGTCTCCTTTTATCGCAACAGAGAAGAGCAACTGCGGAAGTACTTTCATTCATATGACCAGCTTGTTTTTTGTAATGATGTAGAAGGACTTCTTCTCTCCATGGGACTACCAGCATATTATAGTAAGGATTGGAGACTTTTTATTGACAGTTCTAAAAGGAGCTTGAAATGTGTTCTTCTTCATAACGGAAACAAGTATGGTTCAATTCCAATCGGACATTCTGTACAAATTAAAGAAGAGTATGAAAACATTAAGACTGTTCTCGAGAGGTTGCAATACCATGTTCATGAATGGTTAATTTGTGTGGACTTGAAAATGGTAAACTTTCTATTGGGCCAGCAAGGAGGGTACACAAAATACCCCTGTTTTCTGTGCTACTGGGACAGCAGGGCTACAGCAGACCATTGGGTGAAAAAGAATTGGCCACCAAGACATAGTTTGACGCCTGGTGACAAGAATATCATTAACGATCCTCTGGTTGACAGGAAAAACATTGTCCTTCCTCCTCTGCACATAAAACTTGGTATCATGAAGCAATTCGTCAAGGCTCTTGATCATAGTGGAGAGTGTTTCAGATATATATGCTCAACCTTTCCAAGTCTTAGCGACGAGAAGAAAAAGGCAGGGATTTTTGATGGACCTCAAATAAGAACACTACTCAGAGATCCACACTTCCTTGCAACAATGACTGAGGCACAGGCAAGAACTTGGAATGCTTTCTCTAATGTGGTGCAGAACTTCTTAGGGAACAAGAAAGCGGACAACTATCAAGAAATTGTGGAAGAGCTGCTCTTGAGTTTACAAGCACTTGGATGCAGAATGAGTATCAAGGTTCACTACTTACACAGTCACTTGGACGAGTTTCCAGAAAATCTGGGAGAAGTGAGCGAGGAGCAAGGGGAGCGCTTTCATCAAGACATTAAAGTAATGGAAGAACGTTACCAAGGTCCAAGGGACTCGAACATGATGGCGGACTACTGCTGGAGTTTGATGAGAGACATTCCAGAAGCTGTACATAAGGGATCGGCCAAAAAGAGGAAGTTTATGTAACTGTAACTTGATCTTAATACTTGCACTATTTCTACCGTACATTAATTGTTTTTTTCACCCTTCAATGTTACATTTAAATATTATATGTGCATTAACTTTCCAATTTGATATTAACAATTTTTGGTTATAGAAAAATACAAATTGTAATGCTGAAAAAATTTATGTATACATGTTTAAACCGTCAATTTTGATCCAAAAGTTTACGTTTCCCAGCAAAAGTGCAATATGGTATATCTCAAAAACCAGATGTGATAGACAAAAACCAAAGTCATATTTGGATTCTGCACCCCAAATTTACTTAAAATCCGTTTAAAAACCTGTGCCAGAAAAATTGTGTTGACCGGTGTAATGTAAAAGTCCGAGGCTGACTTCTAGGATGACCTTTACGCAGTGCTTAGTTTATTGTTAGAGGAAGGTAATGATATAAAGGAATGAATGAATAAATAGATGATGATGATGATGATGATGATGATGATGATGGATGATGAATGATGATGGATGATGGATGATGAATGATGATGAATGATGGATGATGATGAATGATGATGATGTTGATGAAAATGATGATGAAGGTATTATTATTATTATTATTATTATTATTATTATTATTATTATTATTATTATTATTATTATTATTATTATTATTATTATTATTATTATTATTATTATTATTATTATAATTATTATTATTATTACTATTATTATTAAATTGTAACCCATCTGATATCTTCTTCATCACAAATAATATAGAGTATTGTTGTTTATTGACCACCGCCGCTGACAAACACTGCCGGTAGCCATCGTCCACTACTGTACAGCAGATATACCGCCCCCCGGCCACACACACTCTCTGCCCTCACGTACAATACTATCACCAGCATCATCACTCTCTTATTATAACTCTCAGACACACACGCACAAAAAAAATCAATAGTGAGAAACGATATATGCATGTTGTGTTGTCAAAGAAAGAGAAACTATTGAGACCCTACAATCGTGTGTAAATGAGGCAGAAAGTCAGATCAGCAACCTGGGACTTGGTCACAATTTTTGTGATGTCATATGGCAGCAGGGTCTACCATTAGACAACACATTATGTTTCCAATATCTTCCCAGGCGGTGGTACTTTCCCGTTTGATAGCTGCCTACTACCTACTTACCTACTTCCTTGTCTACTCCCTAAAATGTTCCTTTTAACTTATTCATTTAAGTAAACGACAGGAATACAGTAACTGGCAAATCCTCTTATGGGCGTTGACATTACAGGAAAGCAGGGCTACCAACACACGGCAGAACTTAGGAGAGTTTGTCAGATTTCCCGGCCAGGTGTGTCATTTTGTATAACACTGAAAAGGTGCATATGCTTTTTTTGATGACTACTTTCAGGGTCCAGAAAGATCTTATATATTTCGTGAAGATAATTGCATAACAGGACAATATAGATTTATTATAACATTTCCATCTTTCACTATTTTTTACCTTTGGTGGACAAGTGTCATTATTTAAAACTTTATTTGTTGAGTCGCAGTAATAACATTATAACGTCACCATCAACGCATTTTTATATCAAACTTAGATAATAGTTTCGATATGAAGACCACCAGTGTCTGTATACCTTTAGTCTCTGAGGAGCATTGCTGTACACATTCACAATCATCTGCCCAGTTACATTATTTTCTCACTGCCTCATTAGTGCGGTTCCACACATCTGGTACATCTACAACTATTGTTTTGTACAACCTCAGAGTCTATTAAGGTCTATGCAAGGAAGTGTAGAAGTGTTAAATCCAGCGATCGTGGCACCCAAGGCCTTTTTCTACCACGATCAACACGTCCATTAAGATAACGTTCTTTAAATTAGCTCTGAACGATATTTACGCACTGATTATGAGCCGCCATCTTGCTGAAAGACAACAGTGTTAAAAATATCATCTGAGAGAAACTGGGACTCAATGTAAAGATAAACATGTAATTGTAATTTCTGGGAAGAAAAACGGACCACAATTCTTTGATTTGGTTATATCCATCCAAGACGTCACTTTACCGGAATATATTTCCCATTCTTAGAATTCAGTTGACTTTTCATCCCGCATGAGGCAACTGTTAATTAACACAATCTGCTCAGTTAAATTCATTTATCGAATCATGTAACACTTAAAAGGTTCGGTTTTTGTGACGTATTTTAATCGCTTTACACCTCTTGTCTTGGGTTCAGTGACATTACCAACACACGTTCATATACATTCAACATTAGTCACAATTATATTAGACAGTGTGTGTGTGTGTGTGTAAACTGTCTAAAATAAGTACAACATAGAGTGTATGTTTTTAAGACAGGATATGGTCGTTGCTGTAAGTCAGTAATATGATTACTGGCGTATGTGTCTTTAATGACTGGTTAACTTGGTGGTCCTGACATCGACAAGCGTTGCCATGTCGTGTCCTCACCCAAACTAGTGGTCAACCAATATTCCCACACAAGGTCGAGAATATCTGAGCACATCATCATAGCTCGTGAATCTGTCGAGCTCCTTAATGAAGTACAGGTAACAAGAATTTTTTTTCGTGCTCTGAAAAGACCATCTGGTTCTGGTCACCAAGTTGCTTAACATGTGTGTCAAGATTATGTTTTTTATTTGTTACAAAACATCAGCAAAATACACACGCACGCTCGCACAGAGAGAGAGAGAGCGAGAGAGCGAGAGAGCGAGAGAGCGAGAAAGAGAGAGAGAGAGAGAGAGAGAGAGAGAGAGAGAGAGAGAGAGAGAGAGAGAGAGTGTCACAATATTACGATACAAAAATAATTCAATTTCAAGAGAAAAATTATGTAGTTATTCGCATCACCTATACCAACTAACCAATAATGACCTGCACGAAATATTAAAGATAAGTGAAAGAAACCCAGAAATAAGTAATAATGATAAGAATACATGGATACTTAGTTATTCCTTAACATAACTTAAATGTCAGGACGTTTATGCCTCGTCCACCATCACCTTGACTCTGGTGGTCATGATCAGAGTGTGGCGGGGTGTTGGTATATAAGCTCACCATCTCCTGGAGCCTCACTCACACTTTCCACGGAGTAGTGAAGATACAACCATGAGGGGCGTCACATGTGTGGTGGTGAGGAGCGTTGAGGTCGTTTATGATAGTGCTTGTGTTTGGGTGCAATATATTAGTTACTGAATTTAACCTGCATTTTATATTGACCGAAATCAGTGGATGTAATGAAACTAATTGAACTTGGACAGATGACGTTACATCTATTGTATTTTGGTTTTAATGTTTCACTAAAACTTTGTAAATTTTTAGTCTTTGTTGTTCCTCTGGTGATGTATAGTACACGTCTAACTTGAGTCACTCAGGGATGTTAATACGTTTTTTTTTTATTAGATTCATGGTGTTTTTTGTGTTAATACTGTTTCTCCTGAAGGTGCTGTTGGCGGAGATCATGGTGGCTCTTGCTGACCAGAACCCCTACCACCCCCCGACCTACCACCAACCATCACCCTCCTACCTCCACCAACCTTCCTACCACCCGACATCCTACCACCCTCACCCCACCCACAACCACCAAGAGCCCGAAGTCCCCGTCTGCGCCTCTGCCACCAACGCCACCTGGTGCCTCGAAGACGATAATTACCCTGAATACGAGATCAAGCAAGCAGTCGACTACCACTACCAGAAGGTCCTTGATCTCTATACTGACGTGGCTGACCTCGACACGAAACTCTCCGTAGAACGACCGGACACCCTTCAGGAGGAGACTTACCTCTGTCCTTCAGAAACTTCCTACGTTAAGCCCCTTCGGGCGCAGAACAGCATTGGAAAATGGCGGATCATCGTCAACGATATTGAAGTGCATTACGAAACTCTAACACAAACTACCCGAATAGAGCAGTGTTTAACATCGGGAAATTATTGTCCCAAAGTACCCGTGTGTTACGAGTCCAAGTGTCTGCAGAAGTCCATCTACCACCGCTTCCTCGTCTACGACCCCTATGATCAGTACTTCCCCTTCGCCATCGAAACCTTCAAGCTGCCCGCTAGCTGTGCCTGTCTGCTGGGTGCCTACACCATCGACCACTAAGGCCAACCCATCCTCACTGTCTCAACAAACAACAGAAACTAAGAATTAAGCCCAAAAATGGCACTGTGAATAATAGTCTTGCAGACTGTGAAGTCTAGGAGCACGAGGGTGGTTCCCTGTGGCGCTAGAAGCCACTCTACTTGGCTGGCCTCAACAAGGCGGTACGTGAAGAAAGCAGTTCTCTAGTCATCTCGCTGTGATCACTTTTTATCTATTTTCTCTTACGACTCTATAGCAAACAATGTGAATGTTAATACTGTATTTTATATTTAAGTATCAATGAAAAGTTAAAAAGTGTGTGTCGTTTTTTTATCAATGACATAAATCGTAAATAATCTTCGTATAGAATATAAATAGTCGTACAGGTACATTATGTAGGTCACTGTATAATAAAGTTATCTAAAACACGAAAAATATGATGTGCAGTACAAGGAACGTTAGAGGGTGAATGAGAAGTTGTACTGTACATTAAACCAGAAGAACAGACTGCTGGAGGAGCACCTCTGCACATCCCGTCCCCAGCCAACCCTCAGCCAGTGGTCATGTCTGTTTACACATTCTAGTTATATTTGAAACGCCCGGGAAAAAATACTAAATTGGCTTATGAACAAATTTCGGTAATATAAAAGGTGATAGGTTAAGAACAATGTGACTTATTCATTATACATAGACTTAGCCACATTATTTAAAGTCATCCCGATTAGAGATAATATATCACCTAAGAGCTTGATAAATCACTTGGTGTATAGTATGTACACACAACTGGTAGTGTGTATAAAAATATATTGCATTGCGTGATGTAGGTATTCAAAACGTTACTCTGTCTCTCATTACGAAAATCAGTTCTCTTTCTTTATACTATGGTAACATGCCAGAGGCACCATCTTAACTAACGCATTAGCTGGAGCCCCTAGCTCTGACCTGTCACCCGCACTTACGTTTGGTATTAACTGGGATAAGAGTCCCGTATAGTGCAGAAAATAAGAAAATATTTGTATGTATATTTAAGTTTGTTACCCATCCATACGTCATCTCCCCCTTTGTGATAACCAATTTTTAACTTTACAAACTTAGGAAAAGGAAACATTATCTCAAGCAACACGGTCAACACTGCAGTAGCGGGACCAGAAATGCAGAATAAACTAATGATTTTTTTATTGCATTAACCGCGTGTGAGATTTCTCTTTTACCAAAATTATATATGGACTTTTTTTTCAAATACCCCTGAACATAATGCGGTAATATCCAAGCAAAGGAATCTCAGGTAATCGAGTCTACCAATAAGTTTAACGTAACATGCCAGCATAATTGTGAGGCAAAAAGAAAATATTATTTTTCCATTCTTCTTCACATGTCTGGAGCTCCCATTGTTGAGCTATACCTCTAGTCAATGCGACAGCAGCGACATTTACTTGAAAGAAACATACATACATACATACATACATACATACATACATACATAACAGTTTAAAAGGGTTCTCCATAAAACATAAAATATGTTCGTCGATATATTTATTAGTTCCATGTGAAATGCAAGAGCATAAGTTATGAATAATAATATGTAGGCTATACTGTTTATATATATTATCAGATATCTTTTATCACAGCAAGATGACTAGAGAACTGCTTTCTTCACGTATCTTCATGTTCACGAAGTCATGCCAGGGACCATAGGATCTTGTAGTAGCAGCTTGTGCTCCTCGACCTAGAGTCCAAAATTCACAAGAATATATTTATCATGCTTTTTACTGCGATCCTTTGTTGTCCTGAGAGAATTGTGGTGTGTTGGTCTTAGTGGTCGATGGTGTAGGCGCCCAGCAGACAGGCACAGCTGGCGGGCAGCTTAAATGATTCGATGGCGAAGGGGAAGTACTGATCATAGGGGTCGTAGACGAGGAAGCGGTGATAGATGAACTTCTGCAGGCACTTGGTCTCGTAGCACACTGGCACCTTGGGACAAGCTTCCCCTGAAGTCAGGCACTCCTCGATGCGGGTAGTTTGGGAGAGAGTCTGGTAGTGCACATCGACATTGTTGACGATGACTCGCCATTTGCCGATGGTGTTCTGGGCACGAAGAGGCCTGACGTAGGCGGTCTCTGAGGGGCAGAGGTAAGTCTCCTCTTCTAAAACATTCGGACGCTCAACGGAGAGCTCAGTGTTGAGGTCAGCGACGTCAGCGTAGAGGGAGAGGACCTTCTCGTAGTGTTGCTCAGCGGCGTGCTTGATCTCGTAGGTGGGATACTCGGCGTCCTCAAGGCACCAAGGCTTAGTGGTGTTGGTGGCGCAAGCGGGGACGGCGGGCTCGTGTTCGTGCTTGTAGGTTGGCTTGGGGTCGTAGGAAGGCTGAGGGTGGTGGTATGCAGGCTGGGGGTGGTGGTAGGCAGGCTGAGGGTGGTGGTAGGCAGGCTGCGGGTGGGGATAGGAAGGTTGTGGGTGGTAGGAGGGTGTGTGATGAGAACCATAGGAGACCGAAGCACCGACATTGTGGACGGTTACATGAGAGCTCTGGTCAGCGAGGACGGCCCCCACTAATACCAGCTGCACCTAAGAGGAAAAACGAAAATCACCAGAAACTTAATATAGACATTAATGTGTGAAATTGCAGTTTGCTTGTCGCTTTATCTCATCATTTATGTTACGTAAACCAAAACCCATAATGATTTATAATTGCATGCATATTTTTTTATTGATATTCTAATGTTTAAAAGACGAACTGTGTATAAATATTAATTTTCATGTATTGGCCAAATATCTTTTAGAAATTTCCTTTTGGCGACCAACCACAAATCTGATAGTCATGATGCGTGTATCTCCGGCACTCCACTGGAACTAACTGTGTAGGGGACATTGAGGCTGGACGCTTATATACCGAGAAGCCCGTCAGTTTCCTCACCACCACCGCCGCCGTAATAACCAGGAGTGCTGGAGGGGAGACATAGGGGCGTGTCGCAACTCACTACTGTATGGTGTCCTATATCCCCTGTGGCTTATGTTACTTCTTATGGAACTAAAGTTTTGTTGATGACTGTAGCTACTTATACAGTATATCCTGAATACTGAGTAATGAACTTTTGTGGTGAAATGTGAGGTAACGATTGTACAGTATATGGCGACAATAATAGTGTCCTTGACAGCAAATTATTGAGAACTGTTTAATAATTATTATTAATTACAAGTCTGCATGTTGTGGTCGTGATTTTCTTAAGTCTATTGTAAACAATCTTTTTTTTCATGAATAAAATACATAATTTCTCTTACTGCTACAATATCAAAATAAATTTACTAAAAATATTAATAAGCAGTATCAACTGGGATGTCTACTTGTTTTTACATACAAATTTAACGCGAGTCAAATTAATTGGCTCAGGAATACGTACTTCCATCAAGATGAGTTCCCAGTCCCAGATACCATAGTGTTCATCAAGCATTGTAAAATTACGATGGTATTAGTATACAGCATTAATTATTATTTTCCTGTAATTACATAACACGGGTACACTGGCACTCCCCTCATAGCGGCGACAGTTATTGTTTTGTTAGCTTAAAATTATTCTGAATTAATGTTGATATAAACTCCACATGTTATCAAAATCAGAAATACAGTTACCTGGAAACAACGGATGTTGATTCGTTCAGCTCCCTGAGTACACAAAGAGACCATCGCTTTGTAAGACTTAGTGAAGTATGGTAAATAATCCTGACTGTTGAGGAGCTGAAACAATATCGAATAATAACACCTGTATATTAATAGTTTATCATTGGTTGTATTTATAAATTATGGAATATACAGTTGTCTACAGTATTCCCTTGACAATTTGGGTAATAGCTGACATCTAGTTGAGAATCATGTAAGTAAAGTGGTCTGTGATTTTAACGTTTATTTGTAGCTCAAATTTCTTTTGTATATTATGGTGATTTTTATGGTTCAACAGCTGTAACCCAATCACTGTATGACCTGCCAGTGTTGTAAATACCAAACATTGGCAACTGTTGAGAGGACAGTTTAACCCTTAGAAGACGATTGGTTTAAACTATAACTCTTTGAGGACGATGGTTAAAACTATAACTCTTTGAGGACGATGGTTAAAACTATAACCCTTTGAGGACGATGGTTTAAACTATAACTCTTTGAGGACGACGGTTAAAACTATAACTCTTTGAGGACGATGGTTAAAACTATAACTCTTTGAGGACGATGGTTAAAACTATAACTCTTTGAGGACGATGGTTAAAACTATAACTCTTTGAGGACGATGGTTAAAACTATAACTCTTTGAGGACGATGGTTAAAACTATAACTCTTTGAGGACGATGGTTAAAACTATAACTCTTTGAGGACGACGGTTTAAACTATAACTCTTTGAGGACGACGGTTTAAACTATAACTCTTTGAGGACGACGGTTTAAACTATAACTCTTTGAGGACGACGGTTTAAACTATAACTCTTTGAGGACGACGGTTTAAACTATAACTCTTTGAGGACGACGGTTTAAACTATAACTCTTTGAGGACGATGGTTAAAACTATAACTCTTTGAGGACGATGGTTAAAACTATAACTCTTGGAGGATGACGGTTTAAACTATAACTCTTTGAGGACGATGGTTAAAACTATAACTCTTTGAGGACGACAGTTTAAATTACTGCTTCTAACACTACTTCTCCACCTACTAATAGTATACTATCATTACTACTTCTACTGTGTATACCTCAGTGGAAAATTAAATTAAGTTGACCTTCCTGACTAACACTCACCAGACGCTGGCCACACCATCATGATTCCTTCACCTGCATGACTCAGTACCTGGCTCCTGCCACAGCCTTCTGCAGGTAACTACTACAGCCTGTTACTTACGAGGTGTTTGTGGTTTTTATGGTGAACGCTAACTGGATACGCTTTCCCTCTACTTGAATTATAATTTTACTCAGGGTTATGCTGTCAAGACACCTTGATACAACTTTAGAAGAACCTAACCAAACCTAACCTAACCTAATCCGACCTAACCCGAATTCTTGATGTAACGTTTGAGTGACAAAATTTGGAGAGGTGATTCACTTGATAGGTTATTTCTCCACAGTAATTCTTCGTATGTATTTATCTAGTGAATGATTAATATTTTATTTTCATTTATCTGTTATCATAAAGCATAAAGACACGTAGTGGTGGTTTATGATTTTTATACACGAACGAAAGTAAGACATATAAAAAACACAGAATATGTGATGGAAGATGAAAATACAGAAAAAATGAATAACAACAATAATAAAAACAACCACAGAAGATAAAGTGTGGAAGAAGAAGAAGAAGCAAATGAAGACGTAGAAGAATAAAAAAATAACGAGGGCGAACTAAAGTAAACGAGAAAAACAAAGGAGAAGAGAAAAATGAATTAGAAATACGAGGGGTAAAAAGAAGAAGGGCAAGAATAAAGAATAAATAAAGATAAAGAAAAAGAAATGAATAGAGGGAAAAAAGGAAAAGAAAATGAGAAGAAAACGATAAAGAGAGGCGAAAATGAACACAACCTTAGGTCTGCTTTGCTTTGTTTCAGGGGAACGAAATCTTCGGCCCCAAAGCCAACAACAGTCGCAGATATTGACTATGAGACAACAGTCACTGAATGCGCATAGATCTGCGGTTCAACTAACTCGACACAGCTCGGGTATTTTTTTTTTTTGTATTAGGATATTTAATGTTAAGGTAATAAAGCGGTGGCGAAGGTGTTGCTATTGGGGAAGGCTGGGAGACACGCCAAAAAAAAAAAAAAAATTGAATAAAGTGTAATACAGAAACTAAAAGTCCTATCTAAATATAACCCCTTTTCCACAACTCTAGTGTTTGGTTTTCTTTTTGTCATGTTTAGTGAATTCTTTGATGAGAAAGCCACTAATACTTCAATGTCTCACACTGGAAATACAGGAGTTTAAGTCGTACGTCAACGTTATTATGGGTCGATGGTTAATCCTTCATAGTGACATAACCAAAGAGGGAGGAAGGTCGGGGTTCCTAGAAGGCTGTGATACGCCCTTGGTAACAACCATAGATATTAATGGGGCATATTTTCACCTCCTACACGTCCTTAAGATGGGTCACCACACATCATTACTCTTCACTAGCGGTTTCAGCTATATTACTCGGTGAAGTTGACGTGTGTGCCTCTTAGGGTGCTGGTGAGGGGTGTGTCGACAGAGGTAATCAGATGTCACCGCTCTACTCCTAGTATTTGTCAATCTCTCTCAAGTAAAATAAGATTTATTGTGTCTTTGGATGTGGCATAATATGTTGATCAAATTATCACAAAACGTTGGTTAAGATTTATTCCACTAAATACACTAATAGTGACAGTGAGACAATAAACTCACACTTAGTGGGTGTTTTATGTTCCCCTCCACCTCACTCTGAGTCCCCGGATGTTGAGGATTATTGGAGACTCAAAGAGAACTGTACTCAAAATAAACAGCTGAAATTTGGTAGGCAGGTGCGAGTGGACGTGTGATGGTGGTCGTGTACTGTACAATGGACGAAGCCGATCATAACCTCGGGGTTCCCCCACGACAAATTCCCACTTGACATATTATCATAACATTAAAACTTAAAGAAACCTGAACTGGAATGACTTCACTTTCTTTATTATTTACAGAAGAAAAACTCTGGTTGGGGGGGGGGTAACATTGGAATGACTTGAAACCTGAACTGGAATGACTTCACTTTCTTTATTATTTACAGGAGAAAAACGCTGGTTGGGGGGGGGGGGGAGTATTATGTGGAAGAAGTAATTTGAGTTTTTCATTATTTTCGTTCTCTTTTTTTCCGATTCAAGGTTGTCATTCTCGCCAGTCAGCGTCTTGTTGCTGGGCGCCGCATCGCTGGCAACAGTGTGAGTGACTTGCTACTTTCGCCCCCAGAGAGGAGGCGGTAGTAGATTATTGCTGAATGTTCCCGGATACGTCATACCACACACGCAATCCCTGTTCGTGTAAAGTCTGAGGACCTACTCTGAAGTTAACAGTCGTCAAATAGTTCTCTCTTAGTATCTAAACCACAATTATATTTTCTTTCATTTACTTCTCTAATGAGACTTTTGTAAGTTTACTTAGTCTTCTATCTCCCGGTGGCTCGGTATTAGGGTAGTCTCTAAATGACCCTGAGGCCACATATTAAACTAAATTTACAGCATCATAGACGACTGACAACTCCAGCTCATAAAGTTCTCTTTTATATACAACATCTCTGTCTCCTCTGCTGTGCTTGTATTGTTAGTTCTGTTTTTCTGTGGCAAAAACCACACACCCTCATACATCCGTCCACACACACACACACGTATAAGTGTGTGTGTGGACCTTCTTTAAGGTTACATTCCCCATTACTCATCAAGCTGTCAAAGCCGCTCTTTTTCTCACCGCTCAGTGATCGTGATGCAGGGCGTGTTGGAGACGTGTGCAGGACCCACCCACTCTCTTAGTTATTGGTGTAAGGCCCCTTGCCCGAGGCCTCCCTCCAGGTCATCACCACACCTCAAGGTCATCATGTGTGAGACAATGTTGACTTAATTCTTCTTGTGATCTAACAGGAGAATCGTTGTAGAGATGATGATACTGATGGACAATAACACGGTCACTTCTCTTGTTGGAGAGAAATATGTACATCAATCGTCTCCACTTTAAGAGGAACACTGTATGTATTACTAGTCAAGTTTTTTTAAGCACGCCAGTTTCACTCTATTAGATTACCGTAGAGTAAAATGAACAGATGCGATCAAGTCTGTAAAAAGATGGTTGAACTTTAACACAGTACAGTATAGGCGCGAGCAAATAATTTACGAAGCTTTCATTTTGTTTTTGAAGAAGTTAATTTACATCTTTACTAAAGTTTTAATTAAAATTGGAAACTTTGCAGTTAATTAATGTTCTAGAAGACGCCACTATCACCCCACAACACAAATTACACTACCACTACAACACCACTATACCACCGCACCACTACCGCACCACTACAACACCACTATACCACCGCACCACTACCGCACCGCTACCACATCACTTCACCCCTTCACTTCCACACCACTGCACCTCTACCACACCACTACCACACCACTACACCACTGCACCATTACCACACCACAACGCTACACCACCGAACCACCACCATACCACCTCGCCTAAGTATTTGAAAGATAATGAAGCTTAAAAATTATTCACTTGACCAACTACGATCTTTCCATTGTCATTTTTCAACTTTTTTTTATTATATTTTATTATAAAGTTACAAAAAAATGAGAAATAATTTATTGATAATTTCGTAAGTCTTCGGGTAGGAGCTCACTGTCATGGCACTGTACACATGAACCACTATGAGGTAATGTGGGTGGCGGGTAAGTAATGTGGGTGGCGGGCAGGTAAGGTGGGTGGCAGGTAGGTAAGGTGGGGGCAGGTAAGGTGGGTGGCGGGTGAGGTAAGGTGGGTGGCAGGTAGGTAAGGTGGGTGGCGGGTAGGTAAGGTGGGTGGCGGGCAGGTAAGGTGGGTGGCGGTACAAATTGGTAGTGTAGGGAGAGCGCAGGAGGCAGGGGAGGGAGGAAAAGGTGATGTGAGAGTAGAAGGGAGGAAAGACAGAGGGTAGGAGAGGGAAAGAGAGGCAAGAGGCGAAGTGAGGAAAATTGGGAAGAGGAGGAAAAGGTGATGAGAGAGTAAATACAAGATAGAAAAAAAGGGAGAGGCAAGGGACGGAGAGAGGGAGGCGAGGGAGGGGCACATTAATGGAACAGCATCAATGACACACAGAGAGAGAGAGAGAGAGAGAGAGAGAGAGAGAGAGAGAGAGAGAGAGAGAGAGAGAGATTAATGACGTGGTTATCCAATACAAGCATATATCTCTATCAAGTACTAATATCCCCCCCTCCCTCCTCCCTTCTCTTCAACACCTTATTGTAGTGTTTCGGTCTTGGTAACTTTGTTGTACAGTTAGTGAGTTCTTAGTTCCTACTGTGGCTCTAAAACAAAACAGGTAATTATATTAACTCTTGAGGCGAGTTATGTAGGAGGGTAACATTACTGTATACTGTTGCTCATCGTGTCCCCCCCCCAAAAAAAAATATATATAATATACAAAGTGATAAAATGAAGTAATACTTATAATAATAATAATAATAATAATAATAATAATAATAATAATAATAATAATAATAATAATAATAATAAACGTAAGCTATGTGTATTGTATAAAAGAGAGTATCCGCACGTTAGTCTGTTCTCTATAATACTTTTAACCAACTAATACTACTCCTGTACATGCATTCCATATAGTGAAGATCATTAAGCTGTAAGAGACAAAGGTTCCCATCAGTAAGATATAAACTATATGAGTGCTTCAAACATTTATTAACAAAATATATAACTTTATATAAAAACAATAATGTGCATATAACTAAGAAATATATAAAGAGCTATTATACCAACCAATTAAATTCATGTAACAAAGAATTATATATGTTTATTCTTATATGGTGATAATAATGAGTCTTATATGGTGATAACACTGAGTCTTATGCGATGGTAACTGAGACTTATATCATGATAACCTACAACATATCTATTAGTATGACAAATTGGATGACTAGAGAACTGCTTTCTTCACGTAGAGTATTGTTGTTATTGTCATACTAGGGAGGAGTGGGTGCTACAGGGAATCACCGACCATGTAATATACTACACAGTGAGAGAAGAAGATTCACAAAACATTCATAGAAACGTAGACCAGATTCTTGTTTCTTCGGGGCGAGAAGCTTTACTGTTGGCCTTAGTGGTCGATGGTGTAGGCGCCCAGCAGACAGGCACAGCTGGCGGGCAGCTTGAAGGTCTCGATGGCGAAGGGGAAGTACTGATCATAGGGGTCGTAGACGAGGAAGCGGTGGTAGATGGACTTCTGCAGGCACTTGGACTCATAACACTCAGGAACCAGGGGGCAGGCGTCGCCGGAGGTCAGGCACTCCTCGATACGGGTGGTCTGGGTAAAGGTTTCGTAATGAGCCTCGATGTCGTTGACAATAACACGCCATTTATCGTCGGTGTTCTGAGCACGCAGAGGCCTGATGTAGGCAGTCTCTGAGGGGCAGAGGTAAGTTTCCTCCTCCAGAGTCTCAGGTCGATCAACAGAGTCTTTAGTATTAATGGTAGGAACGTCAGCGTAGAGAGCACTGAACTTTGGAAAGTGGGTTTTAATAGCTTGTTTGATATTGTCTTCAGGGTAGTCGTCGTCCTCAAGGCACCAGGTGGCATTGGTGTTGGCGGCGCAGACGGGGACCTCGGGCTCTGGCGTGTAGGGTGGTGGAGGGTGGGGGTGGATGGAGTGAGGTGGATGGTAAGGGGAATATTGGGGATAGGTAGAGTGTGGTGAGGGATAAGGCTGGGGTCGGGCACCACTGTAGACGACGTGAGAGCTGACGTGAGAGGTTATGTCAGCCATAGCCACGGCTACAGCTGACATTACGATCTGAAAGATTACAGTTGTTATAATGAGGTGTAACGAAATAATGTGACTACTAACAAAACGACACAGAAATATATAAGTGTTGACTTAGTCATATTTTAATGAAAAAATGACTTAGACGCATTATACCGTTATAGTAATAGCTACCAGGTAAGTAAATACTAAGGGAAAGACTATATTGTATATAATTATTATAGATAAATAAGGAGAACATTAATCATATTGAACATGTAGTTCGTCCTTTAAGAAACTCGATGAAAACATATTTGAAATACATACTGTACATTATACTGTACATATCGCGTCAGGAGCCTCGCCGAGATTGTTATTACGAACATCGGTATAAATTAACATTCATAAAGCACAGTGTATGTATGTTTGTTCGTCTGTTCATTAAACGCGGCGAAGCTTTTGAAGATAGAGAACTGAAGTTTGGCTAATCTTTACATCAGCAAACTTTACCTAAATATGATCAGGTGAAATTAGGTTACGTTACGTTACATTAGGTTAGACTAATTTTGTCGAGTTATTAAGGTATTTACTGTCTCACCAAGCATCTCATCGCCATGTTCTCCTCGGGTGTGGTACTCGACTCCTCTGGGTGTGAACACTAACTGTGCTGGTGGTCGAGGGAACTCACGAATATATACCATCTCACAGCTGACGCTCACTGGCATCACGTATACCAATATAGCCCCAACGTCTGACATTTGTGGGGAGCTGCCTTCTGGTGTCTGCCCTTCCCCTCTATCTCTAACTCTCTCTCTCTGGCAAAATCCTCCCCACCTCCTTTTCTCTAGCAAAAACTCAACCTCTTTTGTTTTAATTAAATTTGACAAATTCCTTTCTGGAAGACTGTCTTAAGAGATGATTTCAGGGCTCATAGGTGGTATGATACTGGTTTTGTTGTGCTGTGTGTGTGTGTGTGTGTGTGTGTGTGTGTACAATGTGTGTGTGTGTGTGTGTGTGTGTGTGTGTGTGTGTGTGTGTGTGTGTGTGTGTGTGTGTGATACTAAATGAAAATATTTGGAAAAAAGTAGTTATTTTGATATCTGCTTTGATTAAACTGATCATCTCTCAATGAGTCTGTCTGAATGTCAAAATTGATCATGTATCAGCTGACAACACTTTCCTTGCCTTGGTCTACTTGACTGACGACAAATAATAAACTGTGGAATCCACTCGGCAAAAATCAACCTTTATGAAAATTCGTCAATGAAGAGGTTGCTTTCCTTCTTCAACAACAATGACATACTGTACTGTAAGTCCTTTAAGAACTTAAGTTAATGACGTTATGTTTGATAATGAAACGATAATAAAAAACAAGATATTTTAAGAAGGACTTCAGGTAAAATTGTATCTTTCAAGAATTAATTTAACAAACACGAAGGATTATAACATATTTGTCAAGTCTCCTCTTTTATTTATATATTTTTTTATTTATTTTTTATTTAAGAATCAGGATTTTTTTTTTGGTAATAAAGACAATAAAACTATACACACGGCGGAAGGATCTATGAGCATCCAGGAAATTACAAAAACTCTTCTCTGAAAACTTGATGAATGATAAGACTAATTTATCAAGAAGAAATGGACACCATAAGAAATCTTGCTCCAAAATTTCTCTCCTGTCACGTAAGACAATAAAAGTGAGTAGAGGTAATCATTGTGTAATAAAAGGTTACAAGTGCCTGTATTAGGGCTGTGTACTTTTACTTCTTGCCTTAAGATCGAGCAGATGGTCCTGTGGGTGAGAATACCAGGCACTATCTGTGGGCGGGCTACTCTGTCATATGTCAAGACTGAGGTATTAAAAGTCAATCCAGGGACTTTCTGAAACACCGTCAATTTTGAGGAACCGATACTGTAGTCCTTCATTTGCATACCAGATGTTAATTCTTGCGACAGGTTTATTGTGTAATTAAGAATATCATAAACCAGAAGGTAAGAATGAGAAGAGATATAAATTAGAGAGTTAATGAAGATAATGAATAATCCCTGCTTAATCTTTTAAACTTGAAACATTGGTCACAAGACTCTAAAAAAGGGGTTCTCAACCAGGGGGGAATTCCCCCCAGGGGGGGAATTCAGGTTTTCAGGGGGGGGGGGGGGGGGGGAAACTGATTCGGGAGCAAGAGATATGTTCGATGAGAAATCAATCACAGAATTTTGGCCCTTGATGTGCGATTCCTACCCAAAAGTGGCAGAAAGAGCTATCCGTGTCTTGCTTCCGTTTGTGTCGACATATCTTTGTGAGTCAGGCTTTTCAACTCAGTTGCAAATTAAAACGAAGCAACGTAGTAGATTAGAGGTAGAAAATGACCTGCGTTGTGCCCTTTCAAACACTCCTCCGCGTATTCCAGAATTGGCGAAGAAAAAACAATCACAGGTTTCTCATTGACTGTAATCTTCATCTGAATAAAATTAATTACAAATTTACAATATCCTGGTATTCTATTGAACTTTTTGTTTATTGCATTATGCTTCAGTTTGGTCTGTTAAGTAATTCGTTATAAATATAAAAAACTATTTTCTTTTATTCAAGTTTTATAAATCCATCAACATTTTCAATTGGCATTTAATTTGTAAAACTCCACTTTAAAAATAATCCATGTAAAATTGTAAATGTATATGTACTAATATGGAAAAAATAAAGGATTTTCAGTATTATATGCATATTATTTGGAATGCACTTTTTGAGGCAGACAATCTTGGAAAGGAGGGGGGAATGACATTCTGACATATGGTGCAAGGGGTGCATGGGGCAAACAAGGTTGAGAACCACTGCTCTAAAACAACCACCAGAAGCGTTGGTTCTCAAACTCGACTGATTTTATAACGTGATATTAAGCTAAACCAAATACCACATCACTTCACAGTATAAATCTCAGGTTATTGAAATTATTGAGGCATGAACCGACACTTGGACAGACAGACAGACAGACAGACGGATTGACGAACAGAAAGTTTAAATCAGAAAACGGAAGAGAGAGGAGGGTAACATTCTTAAACAAAGACTACTATAAAGTGAAAAAGACAAGAATGACAACAAAGAATTATAAAAAAGAGAAATATTACATTACTGTATAATGATATGGGATTAGTTCTGGCTATTGAAGTTACGATTATCACTATACAACCTTCCTTATGATGCACTTACTATCATACCACAACTGATATAATTTAATAAAACCCTAACGATATCACATGAGGCAAGTATAATGAAAGTCAAAAAAATAAGGTAAAAATTAATGTGTCTGTCCTCATTTAGTACGTGAGAGGACCCATAAGAATGACAATGTAATTTACACTAACCACTGGGAGAAGGATAACCAGACCACCTACAGTATTCTTATAAAATGTATTGATCTTTTGATGACCCTAATTTTTATAATGATTTTATATAATGTCCTAACTGTTAGCACAATTCCGAGTACAGTACATACTGTATATAGTTGCTAGTCCAGGCACAAGTTCAAGTGCACGCACAAGTTCAAGTACACACACAAGTTCAAGTACACGCACAATTTCAAGAACACACGCACACAAGTTCAAGTACACACACAGGTTCAAGTCCAATTACATTCAGTTACAGAGTTAGGTGCAAGTGCAGGTCCAAGCACAAGTACAGAATCTATAAATATAAGTACACGCACAAGTACAAGTACAGGTTCAAATACAGGAATAGTTACCACAATAATTGGTAGAATCATCGGTAAAAGTACAGTTTAATTGTAGTTTAAAGTACAAATACTGTTATAAGTTCAAATATACGAGTGTAAGACTAAGTAAGTGTCAGGGTAATACAAATAAAATGAGAGTTATTATACTAACTGACAAAACATCAAGAAAATACAAATTCAATTACAAATACAGATATCGTAGTACAGAAATTGAAAGGAACATCAAGTCAGATACAGTGCCTTCCATAGAGTAACAATAATCAAACAGTGATGGCTTATCTTACATACAATAGAAAAGCATTTACAATAAGTCTGTGATTTTTTTTTAACCCATATGCACTTTAGAAAATATAAAATTATCTTTTTTAGCCGTCTACTCTCTCTTGCATGTTGAATGAGCTATAAATATTATGTTTTATAGGTAAAAGGTGTCATTTGGGCGGCTTTCTGTAATATTAACTCAAACGCCGCCACTCTTGACTTTCTCCTAAACCTACCTCGTGTACCAGCCAGTCATCGTGAATATAAACAAACCCCAATGCGTCTGTGTGAATACCTAATTAGGATAATACTTTAGTTCGAAAATAATATTGTTAATGATATTTGATTCAGGTTTTAATTGGTACTGAAGGAATTATGTTAGCTTATCAATTTCGTTTCATAACAGTACCCGTACAAGCAGTGAAAAGCGCTTGTGTTTCTCTTTACCCCTCAAGAACATGCATATGAAAAACTATACTTCAGAACAAAACCATATATTTCAGTTGGTTATACTGGTATTGTGTCATGGTATTAGCGTTAGTATCGTTATTGGCAAACTCTCATAACGAAGACCTAATGATTTCATGTTAATTGAGGTGGGGTAAAACTTTTTAGGTACAGCCTAAAAAAAATGTCGATCACTGGCGCTATGACTAAATAACTACAGCCACATACTTGGGTTGGTTATGTTAATGGTGTGCGTCTCGTGGTTGTCTCGACATTTATCAGTCATGCTAGCGTTTTAAGGTTACTTTGATGACTAATAATGAGGTTTTAATGAGGTTTTCTCTGGCTCTGCTCTCTCCTGTGGCTCTTCCTGTTATTGCTGCGGATGAGGTAAGTAAATTAGCGCAGAGAAATACTATTTTTTCTAGTAGTGAATGGTCAGTTGCGTAAAATGTCCCAGTCTTCATGATTTTGTGCAATTTGAAAGACGATATCTGAGAATTCCTGTATACTAGCACAAATGGTCATACCTTTAATGATGAGGTATTTCTACAGCTGCAGTATTATAGCTCTCTCTCTCTCTCTGCTTTTTCTCTTGTCCATGAATATATATGGAATAATCTCCTTCACACTACTATTTTTCATCAAGTGTAAGAAGCCGACGCTAACCACTTTACTGTGTCCCCTGCCTACTGTCCACACACTTTACACAATTGATCTCTCAGTTCGTACTCAGTATCTTTCACAACGTGTGTGGTAAGTGTGGACTCAGGTTTTTCGGCTTCCACGCGGACACCACAGAAACAAACTTTCTCGTACTGCCTCTAGACATCCTATAATTAGAAGCGAAGAAGTAGAATGTAAATCTTCTTATGACCCTAACTGCTTTCAACTGATCGTAAATCGATTTAACTTCCAGAATCTAAATTCCTTCCAAACTATGACACGCAATATTTCAAAGTGAACACCAAACGATATCACAGAAATAATACTATATACTAGTCCCTTTGTCCAGTATCATATAATGTTCTCGTTTCGATTTGGTTTGAGCATTTGGATGACAGGATCAGTGTTATAACTTGTACCTTTATAAGTAAGATTTTTATGTACTGTATAGTACATCTTTGTAGCAGTAGCGACGCATGTCTTTGGCACCAATATTTCTACTGTTGCCTTCTTAAACAGCAGCTAACAAGCAGTATTTGGGACCCACAGTGCTGTAGACTTAAGAGATTCATTGCTCGGTAACCAGACACAATTAGTTGTTCATCATGCCAGCGATGCGTGCGCCATTCTGTACCACCAACATCCCTAAAATTAGCATTCGCCCAACGTGGGACTCGAACCCACGACCCTACGATTAAGAGTCTCGTGCTCTACCGACTGAACAAGCCGGGCTCTTACGTTGTCTTAGGCCAGGGCCTAAAATTTTCCCAAACCTAAGTAGGATTTTATAAAAGGTCTATGTCTGTGGGATGAATCAGTGTTAGGAGTCGGTCAATTGTATGATTATTGAAGGATTTACACTAAGGCAACAGGCACAAATTTCAACAGAAATTTATACTTAGTACATAGCATAATGTGCAGTACAATGCACATAAGGTAAGTTTGTGATGCCAGATCACACCTCCAGATGTCTTGATTGAAAATAAAATCTTGGACAACCAATATTTGTCTTTCAAGTCATTATGTGATGGTGAAAATTTTTAACAATCATTCTTTTTGTCACATAGAATGAATATACAATGCATATGAAAAGTAACTGATGCATTTGTAATATAAAAGATGTTCGAACTACTTTTAAAATGATGCATTGATACGTGAGAATAAAACAGATAACCATAGTTGTTAAAAGGTACGCCATACATAGTGGCAGTATGACATGACTTAATGGTTACTAAGAATATACTGTAATCGGTATGAAAGCAACAGGTTGACAATTATTCATCTGCTTTTAGCGTGTGACTGCATGTGATCCCAGGTATTTACAGTCTGGTTGTTGCAGGTTAGTAGCCTGCAGATGTCTATGCATGTTATTTCATTGACAAGACGTGCAGTTTGGCTGCTTGTAGGATAGCACACACTTGCAACAACTCTAACACAGCCTCTGCTGCAGGTTGCGTGCGCTTCCTCTCCATTACGCGATCGTCTTGGTTATCTGTCGCCCATCCTCACCCCTGTGGGCTTCTTACAGAGGGTTGGTAGTTGGCACGAGTACAAGCATAAAGATGCAGCCTTTACATAGTGGAAGCCGACAGGACTCAACTTGTCTTCCTATGATACAGAAGAGCCCCTAGTGCAAATCATTCACCTGTTTAGTGATTGCTGTTGGCGTATACACGTGGTAAGTGAACTGTTGTATATTCAAAAAAAGCAGAAGAGATACTTCCCACAACTCTCTAAGTTAGCTAAAGTTCTCCTGGTATGTGCTCTCTTTCTTTATGAGCTTAAGGATACCTACCTCCTCACAACCTGCGAATAAATTCACAATGTCGCAGCATGTGGAAGCATACATCCCAACCAAGGCATCATAGATACTGTGTCCCACTGAACCTGCCACTTTGCCTATGTCAATAAACATTGCGCGGTTGTGTCCCACACTTCAGGTACATGGAACAGGGAATATCTTCTTAAAAGGCAAACATTCAATGACGGACGTGACTCGGATGTTCCCGCCTGCGCCGCTCTCAGCTTCAAGCACTATTGTCTTAAAGATGACGAATACCCCGCAGACCAAATCAAGCGCGCGGCTGTTTACCACTATGAAAAGGTCCTCTCTCTCTCTATGCTGAAGTGGCTGACCTTGACACTGAACTCTCCGTTAACTTTTCAGAGCCTTAAAAGGAACAAATATACCTCTGTCCATCCAACTTCTCTTACGCCAAGCTTCTCCGTGCCCAGAACACCAACAACGAATGGCGCATCGTCGTCAACAACGTTAGGGTATATTACATTACTCTCACCCAAGGTCAATATTGACCTTGCTCTCAGCCAGACCACCCGTATCGAGGAGTGCCAGACTGCCGGCGACGCCTGCCCCCCTGGTGCCTGTGTGTTACGAGTCCAAGTGTCTGCAGAAGTCCATCTACCACCGCTTCCTCGTCTAATACTCCTGTGATCAGTACTTCCCCTTCGCCATCGAGACCTTCAGCTGCCCGCCAGCTGTGCCTGTCTGCTGGGCGCCTACACCATCGACCACTAAGCTGGGCGCCTACACGTCGTCCACTAAGCTGGGTGCCTACACCATTTAATATTAAGACCAATACACCACAAATCTTCCAAAGGTATCAAGAAATAATCTAATAAGTATCTTATAACCAGATGTTTCAGGTGGAAGTGTCTGAGGCGACAGTGCGGCTCACGACCTGCCAAACACTCAACTGATATCACCGCACAGTACGTAAAGAAAGCAGTGCTCTCGTGTTTTTGTTATAATGCACATTGTTTATATTATAAAGAGATGAATAAGTGTATCATCATTGTAATATATTCTTACCTACAGCTCTCACATCTGCAACACTATTTTGGTTATATAAAGTTTGTATAATACGTTGTTTATTCTTTGTAGTCGAAAATGTTTGAATAATAGTAAGGTGAGGCACAAATAAAATCCCGAATTACAATTGTTTTTTTTCTTTTATGGCAAAGTGAACTAATTCAATGGCTGACTGATCTGATTTAAGCTATCCCCAAAACATTTTTATTCATTGTATTTGATGAAACAAAAATAATTAAATTTAATTAACCTCTAAAAACATGTGTATTTATTCTATCATCTAAAGTCATTGAAAATTTTCACGTGTATAAGATAAGTTTCCCTTGATCCCGACATCATTAAATCCTCTCTGGACCTTCACTAAAGAGGTTTCGAATTCACTTAACCAAACTTATCGAGTTGGTAAATAATAACACGAGTTGTGCCTTTTGTGTGTATGATTTTGATGCCTTATTACTATTAGTGTCAATGATATTATTATTATTATTATTATTATTATTATTATTATTATTATTATTATTATAATTATCATTATTATTATTATTATTATTATTATTATTATTATTATTATTATTATTATTATTATTATTATTATTATTATTACCAATGTAATTATCAATATTGCTGTTACTGTTTTAAAACTAATCTTAAAACAAAAGATAGCTGTAAAAGAAAGATCTATAAAAATGTTACTTATATTAACTTAGTGATCGCGACAGTAAGCTTAAACTATATACTTGTGTTGCTAGTATACGAAAGTTACCTAGAGAGGGTGAAGGCAGCACTACGAAGCTGAAAGACTAAAGGTTTAATGTTTTGGTTTACTCCTAGGACAGATTGTGGTTGTATGTCATTTAAAACTTAAGGATTAGTTTGTCGGTTTAAAGTTACTATAGCTAGACATGTCTAGACATCATTACAATAATATCTGGGAATAATATAAGCAAGATTTATATAATTTTTCTTTATTACACCATCAGAATGCAAGAGCTGAAGTTTACAAAAATATTGGTCATAAATTCGATATAATCTCATTCTACGTATATCACAGCGAGATGACTAGAGAACTGCTTTCTTCACGTTGGCAGATGATGAGTTACATGCCAGGGACGATGGCTACTGCAGCAGCAGTGTTACCGCCACAGGGAACCACCCGCTCGTGCTCTTAGACTACAGAGGTTGCAAAACTAAGATTCACAAGGTGTTCTTATACAAAGGTCCGATTTACATTTTCTTCAGTGGTGAGAGATTTGTGGTGTGTTGGCCTTAGTGGTCGATGGTGTAGGCGCCCAGCAGACAGGCACAGCTGGCGGGCAGCTTGAAGGTCTCGATAGCGAAAGGGAAGTACTGATCATAGGAGTCGTAGACGAGGAAGCGGTGGTAGATGGACTTCTGCAGGCACTTAGACTCGTAACACTCAGGAACCAGGGGGCAGGCGTCGCCGGAGGTCAGGCACTCCTCGACACGGGTGGTCTGGGTGAGAGTTTGGTAATGAGTCTCAATATTGTTGACAATGACGCGCCACTTGCCATCGGTGTTCTGGGCACGGAGAGGCCTGACGTAGGCAGTCTCTGAGGGACAGAGATAAGTCTCCTCCTCAAGGGTGTTGGGACGTTCGACGGAGAGCTCAGTGTTGAGGTCAGCTACGTCAGCGTACAGGTCAATAACCTTGGAGAAATGGTAATCTACAGCGTGCTTGATCTCGTAGGTGGGGTACTCGGTGTCCTCGAGGCACCAGGGTTTAGTGGTGTTGGCAGCGCAGGCGGGGACGGCGGGTTCATGGTGACCATAGGATGGTTGAGGATGATAGGATGGTTGAGGTTGATAGGAAGGTTGTGGGTGGTATGAAGGCTGAGGATGGGACTGTGAGGCACTGTGAGAGACATGGGAGCTGACATGAGAAGTTCTGTCAGCCATGGAGACGGCCACAACCGCAAACGACACCTGTCAATGTAACAGGAAATTGATTTAAATACATAAGTTTCCAAAGGCGTTCTTTGATATAAGTAAGTGTAATATTCATATCAGTTGGCAGTTAAATCACAACTGTGTAACAAAATATAAATCCTATTTTAGTTTAATAAACATAATATAAGTGTTGTTCCCTGTTCATTTGTAAGCTACATCTATCAAATTCCCGCAATAAATGTTCAAATCAATAAGATTTTTTTAATATGGTCGGGTGTTGTTGTACTCTTTCATTAATGAGCTTCAAGAAGCGTTGGAATTTATTGATGAAAAAATTTCCAGATGGTCATAAGAAGGTAAGGATAAATAGTGGTATTTACTAAGATATCATTAGAAAAGAAAAATCACCACTACTAGTGTTTACCATACACGAACTCACCACAAATCTCATAGCCATGATCCCTCAGCTTCAGCTCTCGACTCCTTCAGGTGTGGACAGTGAGTGTGCTGGAGAGAAGGGCTCCTGCGTTTATATACCAGAGCCAGGTGACGGGGGCCTGGGTGACCTATGGTTGGTAAACACGGGAAGATCCTCCCATATAGTAAACGGCAGATCCACCTCGTTTGTGTGTCTCACCCCTGGTTACTGTGGTTAGGACACCCGTTCCTCGGTTATTGCGGCTATATTCAGTTGTATGGACGCTTCTGATATTGCGAACACAATCTCTGATGGACGTTAAGACGAACCCGGGTGTCTTTGGTATAGGCGTCAGTATTTCAGATCTTAGTGTATGGATTTTCTAGCTGTGAAGAATGTATTGATTTTGATGGACGGAAGATCCCAGGGTGAGGACACACCCCGTTACTGTGACCATCATCGGTGGCCCCCGGCTACACCTTTGCTGGATGGGACTATCATATAAGGAAAACACAGCACCTTTTTTACGAGTGTAGTGTATGTTCTCATACACTTCCTGTACATCATTCGGGTAGTATATATTACGAATTATTATAAAACATTAATACGTTTCCAATAATAATAATAATAATAATAATAATAATAATAATAATAATAATAATAATAATAATAATAATAATAACGCTGAATAAGGATAAACGCGAATTAGCGAAAAATTCTATGCATTTCTTTATTTTGGAAAATTCTGACTGGCCATAGACGATATTGTAGTCAACAAAATATATTCATTGTATTTGATGAAACAAAAATAATTAAATTTAATTAACCTCTAAAACATGTGTATTTATTCTATCATCTAAAGTCATTGAAAATTCTCAATGTGGTATAAGATAAGTTTCCCTTGATCCCGACACATCATTAATCCTCTGGACCTTTCACTAAAAGAGGTTTCGAATTACTAACCAAACTTTATCGAGTTTAGTAAATAATAACACGAGCGTGCCTTTTTGTGTGTATGATTTGATGCCTTATTACTATTAGTGTCAATGATATTATTATTATTATTATTATTATTATTTATTATTATTATTATTATTATTATTAATATTATTATTATTATTATTATTATTATCATTATTATTATTATTAATATTATACATTATTATTATTATTATTATTATTATTATTATTATTATTATTATTATTATTATTATTATTATTATTATTATCATTATTATTATTATTATTATTATTATTATTATTATTATTATTATTATTATTATTATTATTATTATTATTATTACCAATGTAATTATCAATATTGCTGTTACTGTTTTAAAACTAATCTTAAAACAAAAGATAGCTGTAAAAGAAAGATCTATAAAAATGTTACTTATATTAACTTAGTGATCGCGACAGTAAGCTTAAACTATATACTTGTGTTGCTAGTATACGAAAGTTACCTAGAGAGGGTGAAGGCAGCACTACGAAGCTGAAAGACTAAAGGTTTAATGTTTTGGTTTACTCCTAGGACAGATTGTGGTTGTATGTCATTTAAAACTTAAGGATTAGTTTGTCGGTTTAAAGTTACTATAGCTAGACATGTCTAGACATCATTACAATAATATCTGGGAATAATATAAGCAAGATTTATATAATTTTTCTTTATTACACCATCAGAATGCAAGAGCTGAAGTTTACAAAAATATTGGTCATAAATTCGATATAATCTCATTCTACGTATATCACAGCGAGATGACTAGAGAACTGCTTTCTTCACGTTGGCAGATGATGAGTTACATGCCAGGGACGATGGCTACTGCAGCAGCAGTGTTACCGCCACAGGGAACCACCCGCTCGTGCTCTTAGACTACAGAGTTGCAAACTAAGATTCACAAGGTGTTCTTATAAAAGGTCCGATTTACATTTTCTTCAGTGGTGAGAGATTTAGGTGTGTTGGCCTTAGTGGTCGATGGTGTAGGCGCCCAGCAGACAGGCACAGCTGGCGGGCAGCAGAAGCGTCTCTGATAGCGAAAAGGAAGTACTGATCATAGAGTCGTAGACGAGGAAGCGGTGTAGATGACTTCTGCAGGCACTAGGACTCGTAACACTCAGGAAACCAGGCAGGCGTCGCTGAGGTCAGGCACCCTCGACACGGGTGGTCTGGGTGAGAGTTTGGTAATGAGTCTCAACTATTGTTGACAATGACGCGCCACTTGCCATCGTGTTTGGACACGGAGAGGCCTGACGTAGGCAGTTCTTGAGGGGCAGAGATATGTCTCCTCTCAAGGGTGTTGGGACGTTCGACGGAGAGCCCAGTGTTGAGGCAGTTACGTCAGCGTACAGGTCAATAACCTGGAGAAATGGTAATCTACAGCGTGCTTGATCTCGTAGGTGGGTACTCGGTGTCCTCGAGGCACCAGGGTTTAGTGGTGTTGGCAGCAGGCGGGGACGGCGGGTTCATGGTGACCATAGGATGGTTGAGGATGATAGGATGGTTGAGGTTGATAGGAAGGTTGTGGGTGGTATGAAGGCTGAGGATGGGACTGTGAGGCACTGTGAGAGACATGGGAGCTGACATGAAGTTCTGGTCAGCCATGGAGACGGCCACAACTGCAAACGACACCTGTCAATGTAACAGGAAATTGATTTAAATACATAAAGTTTCCAAAGGCGTTCTTGATATAAGTAAGTGTAATATCTATATCAGTTGGCAGTTAAATCACAACTGTGTAACAAAATATAAATCCTATTTTAGTTTAATAAACATAATATAAGTGTTGTTCCCTTCATTTGTAAGCTATCATTCATCAAATTCCTGCAATAAATGTTCAAATCAATAAGATTTTTTAATATGGTCGGTGTTGTTGTACTTTTTCATTAATGAGCTCAAGAAGCGTTGGAATTTATTGATGAAAAAATTTCCAGATGGTCATAAGAAGGTAAGATAAATAGTGGTATTTACTAAGATATCATTAGAAAAGAAAAATCACCACTACTATGTTTACCATACACGAACTCACCACAAATTCATAGCCATGATCCTCAGCTTCAGCTCTGACCTTCCAGGTGTGGACAGAGTGCTGGAGAGAAGGGCCTGCGTTTATATACCAGAGCCAGGTGACGGGGCCTGGGTGACCTATGGTTGGTAAACACGGGAAGATCCTCCCATATAGTAAACGGAGATCCAATTCGTTTGTGTGTCTCACCCTGGTTACTGTGGTTAGACACCCGTTCCTCGGTTATTGCGGCTATATTCAGTTGTATGGACGCTTGATATTGCGAACACAATCTCTGATGGACGTTAAGACGAACCCGTGTCTTTTGGTATAGGCGCTCAGTATTTCAGATCTTAGTGTATGGATTTTCTAGCTGTGAAGAATGTATTGATTTTGATGGACGGAAGATCCCAGGTGAGGACACACCCTGTTACTGTGACCATCATCGGTGGCCCCCGGCTACACCTTTGCTGGATGGGACTATCATATAAGGAAAACACAGCACCTTTTTACGAGTGTAGTGTATGTTCTCATACACTTCTGTACATCATTCGGGTAGTATATATTACGAATTATTATAAAACATTAATACGTTTCAAATAATAATAATAATAATAATAATAATAATAATAATAATAATAATAATAATAATAATAATAACGCTGAATAAGGATAAACGCGAATTAGCGAAAAATTCTATGCATTTCTTTATTTTGGAAAATTCTGACTGGCCATAGACGATATTGTAGTCAACAAAATATATTCATTGTATTTGATGAAACAAAAATAATTAAATTTAATTAACCTCTAAAAACATGTGTATTTATTCTATCATCTAAAGTCATTGAAAATTCTCACGTGTATAAGATAAGTTTCCCTTGATCCCGACATCATTAAATCCTCTCTGGACCTTCACTAAAGAGGTTTCGAATTCACTTAACCAAACTTATCGAGTTGGTAAATAATAACACGAGTTGTGCCTTTTGTGTGTATGATTTTGATGCCTTATTACTATTAGTGTCAATGATATTATTATTATTATTATTATTATTATTATTATTATTATTATTATTATTATAATTATCATTATTATTATTATTATTATTATTATTATTATTATTATTATTATTATTATTATTATTATTATTATTATTATTACCAATGTAATTATCAATATTGCTGTTACTGTTTTAAAACTAATCTTAAAACAAAAGATAGCTGTAAAAGAAAGATCTATAAAAATGTTACTTATATTAACTTAGTGATCGCGACAGTAAGCTTAAACTATATACTTGTGTTGCTAGTATACGAAAGTTACCTAGAGAGGGTGAAGGCAGCACTACGAAGCTGAAAGACTAAAGGTTTAATGTTTTGGTTTACTCCTAGGACAGATTGTGGTTGTATGTCATTTAAAACTTAAGGATTAGTTTGTCGGTTTAAAGTTACTATAGCTAGACATGTCTAGACATCATTACAATAATATCTGGGAATAATATAAGCAAGATTTATATAATTTTTCTTTATTACACCATCAGAATGCAAGAGCTGAAGTTTACAAAAATATTGGTCATAAATTCGATATAATCTCATTCTACGTATATCACAGCGAGATGACTAGAGAACTGCTTTCTTCACGTTGGCAGATGATGAGTTACATGCCAGGGACGATGGCTACTGCAGCAGCAGTGTTACCGCCACAGGGAACCACCCGCTCGTGCTCTTAGACTACAGAGGTTGCAAAACTAAGATTCACAAGGTGTTCTTATACAGCGTCCGATTTACATTTTTCTTTCAGTGGTGAGAGATTTTGTGGTGTAAGCTGGCCTTTGCGGTCGATGGTGTAGGCGCCCAGTAGACAGGCACAGCTGGCGCGTTGAAGGTCTCTTGATAGCGAAAGGGAAGTATCACCTCATAGGAGTCGAGACGAGGAAGCGGTAGATGGATCTCTGCAGGCACTTAGACTCGTAACACTCTCAGGAACCAGGGGGCAGGCGTCGCCGGAGGTCAAAGCACTCCTCGACACGGGCTGTCTGGGTGAGAGCTTGGTACGAGTTCCACTATTGCTGGACAATGACGCGCCACTTGCCAT